AAATCCAATTTGCAGATGGTGTTGTCCTCGTGAGGTGATTTTAACCAAATTACAGTAACTGCATAACTCTGACTTTCAAAAGGATACTGTCACAAAGGAATATTTGCCTGGGGTATAAAAGCACAGGCGGAAACCAGGCCCTTTCCTGTGTTGTGTTACAGCATAACTACCAGTACCAGTGTAACTTTGCTGTAATTTTTTTGATATACAATGAAAGAATGAAAATACTGAAAGAATGGAGTGAAAATGTTAGAAAAGCTTGCTGAATCCTTACTTTCTGTTAAGACTAAAGTTACAACTACCAGGTGTCCAGTTGTTTGCCTCTTCTCTGTTTATTTCGGTTTTACCCACCAGTTCGGTATCCAAATAGGAGAAGGATATTCCAGTCTTCCTGTAAGCTTGTATTGTAAACTAGTACCCATCACAAGTCATGACCAGGTGATGCTAGAGCCACAACTCATATTGAGGCAAGTGATAACAAAACCAACAGCAGACTAACAATACCTGATTTGACCTGGAATTTATGACAGTCTGTATGAGTATGTATTTTAGTTGTTCCATAAACTTTAGGACCTTAGACTCTAGTCTTGTCTCATTTCTCAATTTTGTTAAAGAGGGTTGAAAGACATAACACTCAACTATGAAATTCAATTATCCTTCAAGTCAAACATGCCATTATGAGTCGTAATATGATTGTTTCCTGAAATTTGATCATTCTACTTCCATCAGTTTTACTTTTGTTCCATTCACAAGGTGTGTTAAGTCAGTAAGGGGACTATTGTTGTTGTGTGCACCTGTGCCTCAGAGTGTCGAAAGTACGTGTAGAAACAAGTAAACAAAGAATCGAAACACAGTCATACATCGAAACTCGATCAGAAACAATGTCAACAAGCATCAGAACATGTCAGCAATCGATTCCTGAGGCAAACACCTGGTGTCTGTATTATAGAACTTGTTGGAGAACAGAGAAATACCTACTGTGATCACCTGTCAGAAGTTATCAGGGCCTAGGGGGATTATGTAAACTATACTCTGAACCCAGCCTTGGCCCTGTCAGGGTCATGTTTTTGCAATGTTGACAAATAGAGTGCAGTCCCTGTCAAGAACTCTCTCTCAGTCAGTCTTAAAAGACTATGACAAATTGCGCAAATCAGGATGGTTCATTTAGAATTAAGTGGAACTTAAAGTCAATAGAAGAAATGTTAAGCCCAAGAAAAGTTGAGTACTAACGATTCAAGAACTTGCCTCTTCACGTACAGTTGATTTACAAGTGATCAACAGGGGCACTTAAAGTGCACTGTGGTACCAACATTGTGTACAGTCAGGTTACCTAGGACATATGAAAGAGCTGATATCAGTTGCAGTTGCCTTGCAAAGAGCCTCCCCTACTTTTAGGAAAGAAGTGGAACAGTCCAATAAAATACTGACATCTTCCATATGATATTTGTCACCCCTCTATCAATCCTGATCCTCCAGTTTCAAGGCTTGGTCTTCTGTAAAACACTCCTTTTTGGGAAGATCCTCCTTGTGTTGTGTTTACATGGAGTCCCCCAGAGCCACAGACAAGTCTGGGAAGATGGCATTACAAGTGGTTTCCTGTCGCTGTGACCTTTGGCCTTTCCGTCAGACATAACGGCTCAGTTAGCATGCATTCTACCTGAAAAAATAGGTACGCTTTGTCGTCAAAACGAACAATCTACTTTTCAAGAGAAATTATTCTGTATCCCAACAGCAAAGTTATTGAAATATCAAACCTCTATGCTAGTATCGTCTACAAGATAGACTTTATATTATTGTTATGTTGGCATTGATCCTACATTTGTATATTCAAGGCCACAACTTAACAGGAAGGTCTGTCAAAAGGGTTGTCTGAGTAGTACCAGGGGTCTTTTTGTACGTCCCAGTAGAGTAAGCATGACTTCATGGGATGCAAGTTCGGTCCCTTTAAAAGTGCCAAATTCAGTCACTTAAGTTTGATCTTGAATCGGGTGCGGTCCCGGACGCATCAAACTCTCTACAAATCCATTGCTGTGGAGTTATACTTATACACCACTTCTGTGGGACTTGGGAACATTGTAGGGCAATGGAAGGTGGGTTCTGAATTATTACACTGTTTCAAGTTGCCTGCAGGTTTACCAAATACCAAGGTTACTCTGCCACATTGAGGACAACCAGCCTGCGGCAGCTGGAGTTTACAGTTATCCGCTATCTTACGTTTGGTCGGACCATGCCAAATTGAGGCCAATCAGCCTGCTGTAATGCTATACTAACAACAAAGTCATGTTTAGTCAAACTGGTTATGGTTCTCAATAATCTCCCATTTCCGTGTTGTGCTGTAGACACCACAAGTCTACACTGCTGACCATGAATCTTGTCAATAACAAATTACTGATACTAGTGATAGCAGAACAAAGACCCCTCCTTCAGTTTTAACCACATATGTATCTCTGCAGTTAGCCCTTGGTCTCATCTCTAATTCATTTGGCAGCTGGGAAACCCCCATATTACATATTCCTGTAGTTCTCCTTTTCATATCTGTATGAAAAAAATTATTCTATGCTGTTATTGTTCTGTTTTAATGTCAACAATTGTACAGAATTACTGCAATATTCCTCAAGTATAAGATAGAAATCCAGGTTATGAGATACACTGTTAGTGAAGCCACTGGATAGACTTTGAAATTCTTTGTATTTCTTATTTATAGTATTCTGTGTTTTCCAGTGATTCATTCTTTTCGTAATGAGCATTTGCTGGAGTAGGATTTCTTCTTCCATAGCTGAACCAGCTCTCTGGCCCCAAACCGTGTACGTGCTTTATCGCACGATGTCATCACTAGTGACATGGTCCTTATTGGACTGTGCCACTTGAGTCAAGGCTGGGGTGAAACTGGGGAGGAAAGAGGGGCACATCTGTCTTCCATTCAATGCTGGGATATACATGTACAAGCATTGTGTATCGTGGGACAAATGATTTGTTCAGTATTTTACTTTCAGTAAAGCAGGTCATATTGCAAATTTGCCAGATTTAGATAATACTAACTGTGAGGTGTAGATTTCCTTGCATGATATTGAAATCTATATATTTTGCTATTTTGGAAAAAAATCAAGTTGTCAACTTGAATTCTCAGTACAGTCTTTTAAACCTTGTACCTTGCCCCCATTTCTGCCACAAAGAACTGTTTAGTCATTAGTGTCTTGCAATAATGATAATATTTAGAATTGCATCTTAGAATGATAAAAAAATACAGTAAGTGAGGATAAAGCTTGACGAACATTTAATACACAAGGAAGACTCATGTATACATAAGCATACATTATCTGCTTGTAGTAACTAGATTTGCTGACCTGCCTGTTCTTGTTAACAGAACAAGGTACCTTGTACCTCCCCTGTTTTTCCTCCACTGTGCCAATGTTTAACCCTGACCAACCGATTCTCCATGGCCTGTGTGGGCATGTGCATGTTACATTGTGTCAAGTTCTCCTGATAAAACATGGATGTGGACTACAGCGAAGGTCACTGTTGCTAATTCTGTAGATTTGGAATGTGTAAATGTTAGCATTCTTCACAAGTTCTTCACATTTCTTAAATCACAGTTTCAAATCAGGATACATGTGCATTAGGAATCATTGTGATCTACAATATTGCATCTACAATATAAGATAACTGTAGGCTAAAACTCACTTAGCTTAACTAAAGGGTCTTCAATACAATCTACACTTCAGACATATGTTATGGAAAGTTGCATACTGAGCCTTACTTCCTAGGAACCTGACAACAATCAATCAGCACAACACAAAAGCTAGCTGTAAATTTATATAGTATTTTGTACAATGTGCACTTCAGAGAACTGCTACGGTACTGGAAAATTGTATGCTGACACTAGCTTTTTTAGACTCTTGAGTCTAACTTCCTTGGAAGTCTGACAAGAAGCAAACAGCACAACACAAAAGCTGGCTGTAAATAATTCTACTCCCATACTTCACAGTAAGTGCAACAGTTTACACAACATCCTGACCCCGCGGTCTTCCTTCCTCTTTACAGTGATGTTTACTCCAAGTCCCAGGATGTAGTTTGTGCAAAGAAAGGGCAAAGGAACTGTACAAAATGGTGCTGCGTTTGTATTCAGGCAGAATAGGGCAGTGTTCTTCTAGCCAGCCTGAATTTTGTTTGATGGAACATCATATCTAGCACCAAATGCAACAATCTTAGGGGGAGTCCTGGAAAGTTTTAAATCTTGACCCTCTGAAATGCTATTTCCTGCATTTCAAGGGGCAAATTTTGCTGGTGGAATAAACTTAGTTGAATCGCATCTCATTCCACCTCTTGACAACAATTTTTGGTCTGTCAAAGATGACGGATTGGGCAAAACTTTTGTCTGTCATGAGCAGCAAAATTCTGTCAAATGACAGAAAGTTGGAGACGTAGCTAGAACACTACTGAGTTACATGTATTGTAGGGCTATATCTATATCCTGTCAGGTTTGATTGACCACCCACTTGGAAAAAATTGGTGGAAGTTGTGGTTTGCTCATCCTGTCTCTGTGACAACCTTCCTGGGTTCACCTGGCGTCACCTGGATTCTTGCCTGAATAACTGCATTCTTGGACTGATTGTGTTGGAAATAGCTCCAGGCAGGAGTACTGACTGGAATGTTGGTCTTTTGTCCTGAAGGGTTTTAAGCACCACCTATTGCTGAAGACATGTACTGCAAACCAATGTCAATCGTGTCAATGTCAATGGTATACAGTTCGTCAAATTGCAAAGCGAAAAGCACATTGAAGTTTTTTCTTCAAAAGGCATTTGAAGCTCCCCCTATTGCTTAAGATATGTACTGCAAGTACATCAACACTGTCAGTGTCAAAAAAGAGCTTGTGAAAAGAAAAGATTCACCCAGATTCACTCAAGCAAAAACATTTTGAAAGATGTTGGAGTAACTTTTTCTATCTCTCTGGATGTCTAACCTTCATTGACAATTGACCCAGTATTTGTCATGTTTTACAGATAATGCCAGTAACCTGTCCAGTTCTCAGTCCTCGGTGGAGGCCCCGCCCCCCCGGCCGCCCAAACCCATCACCTCCTCCCCCTCCATCAGCCGCGGGTCTCCCGCCAGCGTTCACTCCGGGTCATCCTCCAGCGCCCGCGGCTCCCCCCGCCAGGCCAGCAGGGCCAGCCCACAGACAGGTAAAGGTCGGTAGTATCGCCACATTTATGAACCAAGGATTGAGAAACTTCAAAACTTGTCTTTTCAGTTAGAAGAATGATACAAGATGAGGATGATTCTGAAGTGTACTGATAGATGTCTAACTGATTATCCCCCAGGTTCTCCCATGTCCAAACTGTCTCACCAGAACGGGTCAGCAGGCTCCCCCAGACCCAAGCCCAACCCTCGTAACCTGAAGCAGCCGGCAGCCATGCCTGTGGACAATGGGGAACAGTACTTCCCTCTGGCTGAGTGCATCACTGGGGAAGCTGAGAACAGGTAACAGTGATACGGTTACTGCCAAGTTGAACACAAGCAAAAGATGGAGAATTGCACTCGAAAAATTATTTTGTGTTGATATATTTAATGTCCACAAGAGTAAAACATCACTATGCAGTATTCTTAAGTTTCCATTTTAACCATTTAAATTTCATTAAACTTTGTTCATTGATTTCAATTCAGTGTCTGCAAGACGTCAATAAACACATCTTGAACTGAATCTGTATTCCAGCGACATCAGATCACCGGCCAAGCAATCTCCAAGAACTGCCAGGACGGAATCTCGCAAGAGAGACAGCTTCCCCGACATGCCCCCACCCCTGCCTCCAACAGAATACGACGTCCTCCCTCACTCCAAAGCAGCCAAAGCGATGTCCAATGGTGGTGTGGACAACCCAGATGTCTACAGCGTTGTTCCGCCTCCCAGACCAGTGACCACAGTTTCCCTCAGCTCCAACCCGGAAGAAAATTACGACCTCGTTCCTCCGCCGAGACTTGCGAGACAAGCGTCATCGGTTTCCACTGATGCAGGAGAAACGTACGACATGGTTCCACCACGGAGACTGACAAACCAGATGTCGGTTGGCTCACAGCAGGGTGACATCTACGATGTGGTCCCTCCGCCGAAAGTCAGCTCGCAGCTCTCTAACCAGTCGTCATGGTCCTCGCAGCAGGATATGTACGACACCGTGCCGCATCGCAAACTGGCCACCCAGCTGTCCACACATTCCATCACAGGGGAAGAGTACAACGTCCCACTGTCTGCAAACGTGGGTATGGGGGTTATGGACTTTGCACAGGACTATCAAGTTCCCACCGCGACAAAGAACATGAGAATGAACTCAGTGAAGCAGCAGCAGATACCCATAAGAAATAGAAGTGGGTCAGGACTGCAGAACTCTTTTGAAGACGATGATGTTGTAGACAATGAGGACTGGGACAGACTCTCAGATTCGCTGAGTGAAAATTTCTTAAAATCAATGCTGCCAGATGATGAGACCTACAACATACCACCCACCACAGGTACGGGCATCCGCCACCGGAATTCCATGGACGAAACCTACGATATACCCCCAAGGAGAAACAGCAGCTCCTTTAGTGAGTCTGGGAACAGCAAGCGCGCATTACAGAGAAGAGAGTCACAAGAGAACTATGACATCCCGCCCTCCCGCGTCAGCTCCAAGAGCCACCCCTCCCTCCACAGACTGACTTCTCGTGACGACACCTACGACACACCGCCTCCCCGCGAGGTCCTGGGCAGACGGCAGTCCCAGCCGTCCAGCGCACAGGAGATCTACCAGGTCCCCATCAACATGGGGGAGGGCGAACCTTCGTCAGGGAGCTCACGGCCTCTGAATGGCACCTACCCCAGCCTCTCCGCAAATGATCTCATTCCACCACCACGGCCGCCCAAGAACAAGTCCATCACGGACCTGACTGGGAGTCCCAACGTGCCCCCCACCCCACCACCTAGCTTCGAGGACACGTACTCGGTCCCGCCGAGTTTATCCAAGAAAAGTTTGGAATCGGTGTCCCTGAGTGATCCGATCCCGCCTCCTGGGCTGGACGATTTTTATGATTTTCCCAAGAAGCTGAAGGGACCTACGGAGGCGGAGGACCCCCCTCCCCCAGTTCCCAGGACGGCGAAGCAGCATCATTACATCAACGCAGCCACATCTGAGGTCACACAGGACGAGAACTACATCGCCATGGCAGTGACGAAAGCAAGGTACAAAACAAAATATTCTATTTCATATTATAACAAAACTAGCTAGTGCATCAGATTTATTGTGGTCAGATTGTAAATCATTCATAAAAATTAAATGTTTTTTTAAAGTAGTTTCTGTACTTTTGCAGTGAAACTAGCCCAGATAATGTCTACACCTCCATGGCGTCTGGACCCAAAGGCATGGCGGAGGGATACACGGACGACTTGTACATGTTCATGGGTGGGGTGGAGGGCATCCCCTCCCCTCCCCCTCTCCTAGAGGTCACCCCCGGCCCTGCCCTGGCCGCAACCGCGACCTCGGAGAAGAAACCACCTGACCTGCCTCCACCAATCAGACGGGACCTGAAGCCAGGGTCAAAAAGAGCAGATGGTAGACCAGGTAAACCAGAATCAGGAAATTCTTTGATATTGACATTTACTGCAATTTTTTAGACCATTTTCTTTCGTCATCATTTCATACTTGAAACGTTTGCAACACACCAAAAACAAGCTATGTGAGTCCCTTTATTTTTGTGTACCACCAATAAATAGCTAGAACCTACAATACGAAACAGGCAACTGTTTTACGTCAGGAACATAGCATTTTTGCCTCACAGATATCAGCATGCTATGGGATAGGGTTGATTTAACATACTGCATTAAAAATCAATCCAGTTTTACAGCCCTGAAATCGCTTTGGATGCCTTTAGAACCTATTAATCATGAGTTAAGGTTTCTTGTTCTTTATTATTCCTTTTCCACATTTCCTGAAACGTTTTACGTTTTTCAGGAAAAGCAAACATCCCTCCCCCTCTGGACCTGAGTGGCACGAGTAACTTCACAGAAGAGGACACGTATGGAGTCTTCCCCATCAAGTCACCCATCACCAAGAGCTTCTCACAACACGGCTCCAACGGGTGAGCATCCTTACACATACATGTAACACTCACTCACTATCTGGCTTAGCACATTCTGCAAATGTCACAATTACCATGTTTGAAATTACCTTTTTTTGACCATGTCAGAATTTACACTTATTGTTTTGTTGTTTTCGACAGTTACAAACCTCCCCAGCCCAAGGACTCGGCTGACACAGAAGACACAGACTCATCAGACTCTGAGGACTATGATTTTCACAAAGCTGGGAGTGGTTCAGCTCTTTTACCACAAATCTACCATCCCATGGAGGGTATAGGCAAGGCAGCACAAGAGGTGTGTATATTACACAGATGTATTAATGTCCTTTTGGCAGTGTACATACAAGTTTCAGTTGTCAGTTAAGTTTTCTATTTGTATGTGTTAATGTTGTTCATGTTCAAATATAATGTCACAGTACCGAAATGTATGCAAACAAAATGTTGGACCAAGAATAGTTGATGATGCAAGGTCTGCATTATGATAACATGCATATTCTTTTATCTCCCAAAGGCTGCTAAGGCCAAGAAGAAGGACAAGGTAGAGTATCTGGACCTGGAGATGTCGTCTTCTCCTGACATGGAGAAAGCCAAGAAGCCTTCCCCTCGCTCCTCGCCCCTCCCCCAGCGAACATCCAGCACAGTATACACACGACTGGACATCGACAGGACCATGGCTCTCAGTAAGACCAAGGAGGCACGGCAAGAGAGCTACCGAACTTCAGAAGGATCGTAGTTACATACTGTACTCAAGATGTAGTTAGTATGATGAAGTCTTGATATCACATTTGGAACATTGAATCATAACACAGTACTAGTAGTGTTCAATGAAGCTACAGACTAAATGTTACAGTGTAAGTCTATTTTGACAAGGCTTCATTTCAACAGATGAACAATATTGCAGTCTTGACTGTAAAAAATGTGGACTGTAAATAGCTAAGCAGTGACTATATCTCCTCTGGTTGGTACATTGATTGCCTGTATGCAAACATTGGTGAGAATGCTTGTGTTTGACTATTTAGGTAGTCTAATTCTGTGAACCTGATTTTGTCAGAAGATTTACTTGTTGAGATATAACCTCACAGATATTATATACGGAAACAACTATCAATCAACTATTTTCATTTGTTGATAGACATTTCTGCATTACTGACCAAACTCCTCAGACATCTTTGACTTCCAGCTACTCTTCTTCTCTCTCTGAGCTGTCCATGTTCACCACAGCACAGGTGCACATACATTACTTCTTTGCATTCCATACTTTTCTATCCCCTCCTAACTCTCTACTAGTAACTGTAATTTCTTGCATCATACATATGGATAGATAAATGGATTTATGGGATTTAGTCCCAATCTGGCTTTTGGTCTCTCTTACATGTGAGAGTCAAACATTAGATATTTTACATTTTGTTATCGAAAGTACAAGCTGGTGTCACATTCTACATGTATGCTCTCAAATGAGTTTTCTTAACACAGTCTTAGATAAAGGTTTTGGCTATATTACGGCTATTTTTCTAGATCTGCTACAGACAGAAGATAGATATTGGCAGATTGATTTTAGCCCTTGAACCACCTTTGTCATTCCATGAATTGTGGACATCTTTCACAGATAGTTGCAGACAAAAGCCATGTACATGTAGGTAGAAATGTCCTCTCCTCACCAGATACAAGAAGAGCTTTGAATTTTGTATTCAACATCTAAACGTTGTGTGGATTTTGCAGTTGTCAGTATCTTCATAATCATATTAAGCTGATTTAATTCTTTTTTTATTCTAGTGACAATGAATAGCAATTTCAGCAGCACAAAACAATATAGAAGTCAGCCTGTTTTATGTTGTTTTATGTTATGTTAGTACAAAAAATATCAATTCTGAAACAGTAGATAAAGTGGACAGCTAATCATTCACATGCAGTAATTATTGTATTCTGTGTAGATAAGTCACTGCATGTGCCTTTTACCCAGCTTCTGTAGCAGTACCAATTTGAAATATTACTGCCTGGAAAATCAACACAGAAATGCTGCATTGCTGCTTCAGATATGCTGGGAAGAAAACTGCAGTCAAACTTATGAAAATGCTACCTTTTAGATAGAGTTATTGATAGTAAGATACACTAGCCTCCAAAAAAAAAGATTCATTGTTACTGCTCCCAAACAGCTATGCACATTGAGGCATCCTGTATGCAGGCAAGCAGTTACAATTAAGTTTGCAACAAGTTTTGATGTTACAAGTAATAGGTAAATGTTTTCTGACAATGTGGAGGCTTAAGGGTGTCATGTGTCCCTCCACTAGACTGGATGCAATGTATCATTTGGCTGCTTCCAAGATTGTATTTTTTCAATAACAACGAAAAATCTATGTTAAAACTTGGTCACCCTTGGTTTCAGTATCCCATGTACATAATGGCAGATAAGTTGCTATTGAAACTCAGATTTCACAAAAGCTTTAAAACTTTTATCATGTGGTGAATTTTTACATTCCTTTTGTTCACAGTATACACGTGTAGCTGTTTAAAAAATCCATTTCTGTTATGAGATAATTTTGTGGAAGCAGTAGTGTTTTATTCAACATGTACATAATACTGATTAACAAAGAGGTAGATAGGTTAGAACTTTCCTTGGTAAACCATTTTGTTTCTTTACAACAAAGGAGGAATTTCTTTGCTTTCTCTTTTTTATGTCTACCTCTTCTTTCTCTTTGTAGGTAGACAAGAAATGTACATGTATAAGAAAATGATGTGACAATAGATTGTACAGGGATGTGAAGAAGCCCCTATTGTCAGCCTTGTATGGATGTATGATGTGTAATATGCACGTGAAAGTGCCTGTGCTACTGTATTATATCTTATGTATTTCCACGGGAAATCTTAAGTCACTACACAGACTGTTCCTGACAGAAATTTTATTGTGTGAAAAGATTCAAATCCGATTAAGTCCTGGGCAGTGCATTGCCAACACTTGTTTCAACATCTCATCGTCTACAGACATAGAAAAATGAACTTTGGATGCAAAGTATGGGTTGGCATTATAATCATTGAATTAAAATATCAAATACTAATATGTGATATTCTGTAACTAACTACTGGATTAAAATATTAGCGTGCACAGAGCTGGAAACAACTTTGATGAACTGCTATTGACATTGATAAATGTACTGGACAGAGTGATTTTGAGAATACAATAAACTTTATATAAGATTTGTTGATTGTCAACAGAAGTATGGTGTTATCTTTTAAATGAATTAGTTTATAAGTTGTACACTTAAATGTATGAGGAAAAGGAATATGTTGCACCTCAGTTATGGAATAGTGTAAGCTTCAAGACATCAAACAATTTCACTTCTACAACCTGATACAGAAAGCAGCAGAGGTAGCTGCTGATATTATGTTCAGCACCAAGGACAGAGAAAACCTACAAACTTTTCTAGAGAAATCTTTCAGTTGGTGCAACTTTTCATTGGTTACATTGGTACAAATGTACATTAACTACAGCCAGAAACAAAATTGAACTGTTGACAGAGCATTAGAATATAATGAAAGTTTCCATGGGTTTCCTATTTCACTAATTTCCAAGCAGATTCTTGGGGGAAAGGGGAGTATGTATAGGCCGCCTGTAACCATTGGTCACCTGTATCCATTGCCCCTCCTTGGTAATTACAGGCAGCTGATATAGACTCCCCTTGCCTCCTCTCTCACTGTTTTGATTTTTTCAATCACTAGTAATCTGTTAACGAACTAACCACCAGCTCCTTGGAAGTGGTGATTAATCTCACTACTCCTTCAACCTGTCCATCATGAAGTCCACATCAGTTTTTCTCCTCATGACACGAGGCACCTTCAGCTGGTTTGATCCCGCCATGGTGTTGGACAGGAGATGCTGACGGTACTCTGAGAAGCAACCTACAGAATACAGAACACATCACAGCATGAAACCAATGGCAATGAAATACAACAGTTCCTGAAAATAGTCAAACAAGATATGCAGTACTAGTTGATAAACAAACACATTTGGACAAAAAATACACTCTTCTCATGTTAGGGAACATTGGATCTAGCAAATCATCCTTTCAGTTCTTGATTTCTGCCAGTTTCCGTCTCTAAACATACAGCTTTTTATCATTCATGTTGCTCCAAAAAGTTCCGAGTCATGGACTGTCAATTAACAAGTACTAATGCCAGAAATCTTAACATAAACCCCTATCACACAGAAATCAGCATACAAAAAACTGTCCCTGGCAATGTCTATGTTGACATATGAACACAGAGTTGAACTTTGGTTGAGGGAGAATGAAAAAGTGGTGTGGATACAGCTTCTTGCAATGTAAGTGAACATATCATATTTTCTCACCTTCTGGCATGACATGCACCACAAGAGGGCCTATGCTGCCCTGCGTCCGACAGCGATCATACATGTAGGCCGTCTTTCTCAGGCAGTCCTCAAGCTGGAACAGAGATCACCATCAGGGACAGAAAAATTTCACTTGGACAAAGAGAAACATGAAAAGAGTGCAAGCATGAAGTTTAAGAAAATGGGTTGAAGGATTTTTAGCACCAAGGACAGCAGCAATGATGCATTTTTGAAGCTGTATGTTTTAAAATGACTAATGTGTTATCTTTGAATTTAACAATTCATAGTTAAAATGTTGTCACTCTTACCTGCTGTGCATATTGCCTTTCTTGACCTTTGACCCCATTCTGTAGCTCCAGAAACACCACATAATGTGGCAATGGGTTCGCCTGTCCTGTAGAACAGAACACACTGGTCAGTAGGCTGTAGGCAGGTGTGCTGCACACACATAACATCCAAAGCATCCATTTTTCATGGCATTTGTTGGATGTTTGGTCAACGTGGCATCAGAATTTTGCCTGTTGCAGACAATACCTTTCCTCACACAACAATTGAAAACTATAGGCAGGATGGCATCCTTAAAAACACGAATATGACCTTAAACGAGACATTCTGTCGAGGTGTTGAGCACAAAACATTACTGAGTACCACAGGTGCAGTACAATCTGCTGACATTCTGGATTAACATGAATTTCAATACTGTGATGAAACTTTGAAAGCCATTGACTATGACATCAGTACCTTCCTCTACCAGGACACTCTCGGCACAGCAGTAGTCGACCACATGTAAGTCAGCATCTGCCCAGGATGTTTTAGCTGACTTCAAAGCCTGATAGAACATGTCTTCTGATGTCTTCTCTCCTCGCACGTTCAGCATCTGGCCTTGCCTGGAAAACATGGTACATGTAATAATTGTCAAGTCATCAGCATCAATAAAATTTCTCATCAAAGCTCAGAGTACAACAAAAAGATGATCTGTTGAGGTAGAGTTGGCAATTCCTGATCGGTGTCTGCTAATATGTTAGAGTAATTTTCCATATCTTTTCTACCCTGATATGATTTTTTTCCTCACCTGTACATGAATTGGATGACAGGACACTTGTGGTAGAACCCCACCACCTTCACCACATCCCCAAACCTGTATCTGTACAGGCCACCTGCATTGGTGATCACCAGCTCATAGACGCCCCCTAGCTGTAGAAAGAAGTAATGCAGCATTCAAACCTCAATCAATGACCATGGAATCAGCATCCAAATCAGCAATTTTCCCACTTAAAAACTACTAGGTTTCCTAGCCATTAAAAATGCTCGAACGTAGACAAACATAATCTCATATTCTACGTCCAATGATTTTCTTTTTCACTGGAGTAGAAGAAACTTAGTGCTCCAGAAGAAATCTGAAGTAGGAGGAGTAGGAGATTAGAAAATATAGTCAACCTGAGCTTGCTCCAACCACAGTGTGTCTGGTTGGTCCTCATCTGAACGGTCCACAGGGATGACTTCATACACCATGGAGCGTGGACACAGGACATAGTGCCGCTCCTCATCATTGGGCCAAATATTCACCCCAACAAGACCTACAGATCAAGATATTTTTTTAGGCAATAGGTTTATGTTTAGCCTGGGTGCTATCCATTTTATAATGGGGCTCCTTGCATTAGCTGACCCTTTTTTTGGTTTTGAGTGCAAGGAGCCCCATTACAAAGTAGATAGCACCCAGGCTAGTTTACATTGGGCAATACATAATGGTTTGGACAACATTCCAAGTATATTCAATCAAAAAAGTTGCTATACCTTCAGTGGCACCATAGATTGGGGAGTACATGGGGACTCCTTTGCAGTAGTGGCTCTTCAGCTTCTGCCTATACAGGTCAAATGATCCTGTATCGGTGGCCAAGATCAAACCTAAAAATGGCCAAACTCGCTTCACAATCTCTTCAAAACCCTTCTGAAATTCTTCCCTCAGCTCCTGTGCTCTGCCCGGATCCGGTTTCATGAGTTTGTCCAGCTCAGCTCGTGTGCCGTCTTGTATGTCGAGGTTTGGATCCACACAACCCTTCTCAATATCAGTGACAAGCTGCTGCCAACAAGCCTCCATCATCACCAAGGCTGTGTGAACACGGAAGGAGAAATTCGCCTCTATGATGCCCAAATTTCTGTCCTTTAGTGCGAACAGTAGATGTACGTACAGCGCTTCACGTTCCGACATGATGTCAAACCCAGGTTTGGGAGTCGAGTACAGGTTCAACATCGCCTGAGAATTTGCCGGGGATGAGGAATTGGGTCCGATAGGGATACCAGCGGCGGATTCCCTAAAGTGTGGCATGTGGAAAATCTTCAAGTCCTTCTGGAGATTGTCTGACTCGGGGAATCCTTCCAACATGCAGCTGAGGGCGACAGTGACTCCTTGAAGGAAGAAGTTGACCCTCTGTTTCTGGCCCATGGGAATGATGCTGTACTTTCCTGAGGTCCCCGAGGTGGTGCCGAACACTATGGGCTTGAAGGCGGTCAGGACCATCTCCTCTCCTTCTATCATTCGGTCTACGTACTCTCGATAGTGCTCGTACCTGCAAAAAGTATTACACAGGAAGGCAATGTCTTAATATAATGTTACAACAGTTCAAACATGTCTAAACAGTGCCTTTCTTGGCAAGAACATCAATGTTCTGTGCTCTTGTTGCATGTTGTACAGTTTCCAGAAATTGTGTTGTGGTATTTCTGATGACAGAACAAAACTTCATTAACTCTCTCTTATCCCATCCAACAACATCTGCCTACCTTGTGAGAGGATGCAAGCTTCTGTAGTCTTCCCTTGATGTGACGTCTGCAAACCTGTACTTCCTGCCGTATTCTGTGTCTGCATGTTCCCTCAGCCTCTGTAGCAGAACCTCCTCTTGCACAGCTGACACATTCTCACAGTCATGACCAAGTTTTCTCCTCATATGCCTGCAGGACAAGCCAAGTTTTCTGTATCGTTGGCTATGAAGTCATATGTCACAAATCTTGTGCAAATCATGTAAGACAATGTAAGAAGACATCTGGAACTGAATCTTTCCCAAAATAGTCCTCTTCAAAAACAAATGAAGTTGAAAGTACATGTACATGTAATTCATCGCTTTGATTCTGCTCAACAAACCAATATCCAATGGAAAATGTAATATCAGAGTTAGTTCTAATGGCAACCAAATGATAAAAGCCAAGCCCTACCTGCCCACAATACTGAAGACCCTAAAGCTGATGTACTGGTCCAGCAGTGACCTGTATGTGTGAGTGTGGGACTTCCTCTTCTTGGCGATGTCCCAGACAACATACGCCAGTCCTGTACACAGCACCACAGCACCACCTACAATGTACCATGATAAAGACAATATTAACAAATCACACTATATCATCGCTTTGTGTTAGTGCACTGAGGTCATGGTTAATGATCCTTTAGATCATAACACAAGCTCGGGGATTAATAAATCTTGTTAAACCCATGCCATGTGCATTTAAGTCTGATGACCCTGAAGTCAAATATTACGGTCCATACAATTCTTAGTAGCCCCAAGTCGGGAGTGGCACACTGTTACATGTGACTGGAATTCGCTGCCGTCGACAGTAGTATCCAGTGAAACAGTCAACCAGTTTAAAACGAGATTGGATCGACACTGGGAGCATCTGAAGTACGAAGAAGGCGTCTAAGACCAGTCCACAACAGGCGGGAAGAAGCCTTACTCGACTGTAGACGGTATCAAGGTATCAAGGTATGTAAGGACTAAAACTAACCTGTGAGCATCTTCCTTCCAAGGCCCATGTTACCAGATCAGGAAGCCTCACCAGCGATCAACTTATACAATCTCTGTTGACGGCATTATTCAACACCCAACGCGGAAGTAAGTCCCGCCAAATTTTGTCATACAAACACAATTTCATTGTTGCACGCAGATTCAACAAATGTTGCAAATCGCCCTTATACACTTTTTTTACATCAAGTAAACTTAAACTTGCCAATTAGTGATAGAATAAACCATTTCAATTTGAATCTATTAGTATTTTAACGTTTCACAAACCCATCAACCGCTCCCAATGTCCATAATGCAAGGAACTGAATATACTGCTATGCTATTTTGCGACTGACCTGTGACCTCCAAACAGCTGGGGGGCAACACTTTTTTGGCCGATAGGGGGCGATGTTGATCCATGCTTCAAACTGTCATCAGATTTGCTACTTGTTCCTTAAATATTGGCACTCAATAAAAATCTAACGGATTTCGGGGAAAAGAAATTGACCGAGAAATATAGCAAGCAGGAAGAGTAAGATAGTGTTAATTTTGAATCGCCCATTTTGAATTTTTATTCAGCAAGGCAACAATTTGGTAAAGGACGTTTTATATCAAAGCTTGATTCCCTCTTGTGCTTGTCATTGTAGTTCAAACGTTAACAAAGATGTGTCATGGTAGACCTCAAACCTAAACCAAAAATTTAATTAAAAAACAGACATGCAAAACACTGTAGAGTTCTATGAACTTTTATTTCTTCATCACAAAATGAATTTGAAACATTCAACACACCAACTTTGATTGACATTGAATTTTAGCTAATTTTGGAGCTCCTTAGTAACTGTTACATGAATAATCATGACACCACGCATTTGCAGCATTTAATGCAGCATTTACATAGAATTGTCTTTATATTTACATAAAAAGTCTTTTTCACACTTTCAGTACGTACATCATGTATGTACGATGCTTCAATAATCAAGTTTTAGATCTGTGTCCAGCTATAAATGTCTATACAACTGTTATGTATATGAGAGAGAGATACTAGTAATATAACTTATGAGAACATGTATATAATGTTATATGTACAATTGTAAATGGAGTACTCTCAGGCACATTTCACACTTTCTGCTCCATTTATATGTTTTGATGATTCATAAAGCTTTAAGCTCTGTGTCCAGGTACATGTATAAATGTATCTAACCGTCATACATATATGTACAAACTTCTGTGTCTTTGCTTCAAAATGTCACACAAAACAAAATTGTATATCCAAAGGCCTAAAGCGGTTTCATACATGTAAATGTGCAAGGATAGAGATGCCTTCATTAGTCCCTTTTCATTCTCCCACACACCCCCAGCTGACACGCCTCACAGAGGGCAGCCTCGTGGCTGCTGGTCATGTTCCCTGTTCTCTGACTCGTATTCAACCTCTTTGAATAATGTTCTCCACCAGGGTAATACTTTTCATAGATCTTGTTTCGAAGATTCTGTATCACTTTGACCATCTCATCTCTGTACCACTTGGGAGCTTCCGGCTCACAGGTCCGTGACTTGTTGCAAGCTTTGCATGCCTGCCCTGGTAGGAACATTTTCACTTCGCCTTTGTAGTTCCTTGGCTTCACCAAGCGGTAGTGGAAGATTACTTGCCCCTTTAAGGAGGTCCAGCTGGCTCTGCAATGTCTGCACTGAAACTTGACCTGACAACATAAGAAATTGACAAGAAATTTAACTGTTGCTGTTCTTCAGTAATGCAGCATCTATTATATGTGTGAAGGCACAGTCATATACTAGTATGTCCTATGACATGTTTTATGCAGCAACAATATCATAATCAAATCTCACCTTGGCTTTGTCAGTGAACTGTTTCCACTGGTCAACTCTGGCTTCATTGATGTTGGGTAAGGTTCGAACTTTGGTTAAGGTCCATTCTTCTGCAAATGCTGCACAAATCTCACTCTCAAATACCTCCCTCCATTCTGTTGGTAGCCTGTCCCCTCCTCCTTTTGCTGTCTTCTTCTTTCCTGTAGGAGATAAGATATGTGTTATTTTTAAAAGTACCGGTAACGTTATATCATGGTAAGAACAGCCCCCCTCTACATACTAGGAGGTGAATTTTGTGATTCCATTGTTCATATATTAAAGAGAAGCTTCTTGACATTCATTTACATTAATTTATTATCAGAAAGGTCAAAGCCTGAGCCTACCTTTGACTTTGGAAGGTTGACTTGCACCAGCAGCTTTGCCTGTCGTGAGTTGCTTTTGTGCAGGAGTAGAAGTAACTTTCTTCACATACACAGGCCCTGTCACATAGTAGTTATCACAGGGGTCATGATTATCCTTGATGTACCCGCCTGTCATGTAGTCATCCCAGTATGCATCTCGATCTGCCCAACTGAACAAATAAATCCAAGAAGCACACATTGTACTTTACATCTTACATCATTTATATATTTTGAACTGGAGACTAATTCCCAAGGGAGAATCTGATGTAAAAAAAACCTCCCTTGGCGTTAACTTAAGTAACTAATGTAAAGAACACAGTTAACATTTAATGTTAACGTTATATAACGGGAGGGGTCCAAAGTCCGGCAACTGTTCTACGTGTTGACGCACGTATTTTGTTACTGTACATGTACATCTGACCCATAACCCTTAACATATAACGTTAGTGAAAACGAATTTTTGGAGGAAAAAAAACTTCTGCCTTAAACCTGAGAAACTTTAATTCAACAAGCATATTTGTACATGATTAATGATAGATACTCTTGTGCTTGTCGAAAAGAGCTAGGGGAATTTCCCCGGTACAATGAACCTGTAAATACTGCACATAGCGTCTGTCTTTCTCTGTCACGTCCAGTGGAAGTTTAGCTCTTCAATGAGCTAAACTGGTTCGAGATCACTTTCAATTTCATTTTCTTTCACAGAAACTGCAAGCACTTAGACTGATCACATGAACCACAGCTTACCTGCGTTTAGGAGGGTCTGGCTTCTCCCCGAAGATTAAATTCCAGAGACCATATGCACACAGCGCCGCAGCAGCTGCAGCTCCTACAGCCACGTATTCGCGAAGTGCTGTACCTGATGACATTTATCAAATGTCGTTTGAAACCTGTTTGATAATCTCCTCTTCGATCAAACGATGACCTTCTGAGATTGGCGATAAATGGGACACGAAGGTTAACGTTTGTGATCCGGCTGACGAGAAGCCTTGAAGTTCTCTCCTGAAGAAGTATCAAGGAAAGGTATCATATCAAGGTGATGTCAACAACTAAAAAAAAAAATAAATAAATAAATAGTCTCTTATTACTGGACGCAGATTCGATTATTTGTTGCTAATTTTGCGTCATCAAACTGTATAATAACTGAACATCTTATCATGAAATAGTAATACATTGATTAGTTTTTATATGAAATCCAACAATGTAACTATATAGTTATCTTTCAGTGCTAAACATTCTAGTAACTTTCGGTAATGAATATTACGCTACGTATTTGCGGGTTGAACTATGACCTTCAAGTAGCGCGGAACAGGAAATGAGCATGAGGATCCCAAAGACGAAGATTTTTAATTTAAACAGCGTATTAAACCCGTTCATAACGACCAGGCAGAATTAATCAACTGCAGGTATGTACTTTAGCATGATGAGAACAAGCGGCGCATGCATTTTCTTCTCCGTTACTTCTGTTCTGGTTGAGGAGAACTTTTTGTCACACGTCTTCTTGTCTCGATTACGATAAATATTTCACATATTAAACTACCGGTATGAGTCGCGTCCAAACTTGGCCATACCCGGTATGTGTGAACTATGTAAGTGTTTGTGGTATGCGCGAATAAGATGGTTGCTGCACTTATTAGCTCCATAAGACCAAGGAGGTCAACTTATACATTTTTACCTAACTGCCTTGACTGCTCGCAAGAAATTAAATGAGAGAAACGAGTTCAAAGGTCAGCCACTAGCATTGTTTACTACTTAGTATATATGGTAAAGAGGCAGGAGGACTGTTAGGTATGTTGCAAATTGCACAGTAGGTCTTTGTGAAGAATAAATGAATAGATTTAAACACTCCTTTCAATACAAATAATAAAAGGTTATATATAACATCAAGCAGAGACAACTTTGAAATCCATATCCTCTCTTGAAGTTCAACAACAGACATGGGTGACAACAAAGTCGCTGGTTCTACCAAAGAGAGGCTGCAAAGGCTGGAGGAGCTTCGAGGTAAGACTCGGGATCCAGGGAGTCAGCCTTCTTCTTTTCTATGGATTCTAACATTTAGCTGCCACACTGCCCAACACCTTTATTGTACAATTATTTGGTACTTGAATGATATTTCTATATAGTATAATATTTGGAAAAAGTAATGTAGTGGTACAAGGCAAATGTAAGCCTCATGTGCACCAGGATGTGTTATGTGTTTTTTTTTCATTTGATTGATTTTTTAAAGAAAGATAACAAACAAAATTGATGAACATGTACATGTACAGGCAAACCCATTGGTTCTGTGCCCTTCTGGGATGTGGTGGTCATCACAGCTCTGGACAGCCAGCAGAAGCAGGTCTATGAGCTGCAGATCACAAAGAAACTGCAAGGTGGCCAACTCCCCCTTGGGGTGAAGTACCTGGTGTTTGCTGATCCTCCAGGAGCCAAGATCGGTTTGTGCTTTTTGTCTGTTTTGTTTGTCAAATCAACTTATAGGGGGAGTGTTATGTGGAAATGGAAAGGGAAAATCTGTTATGTAACCAGTACCATCCAATTTGCTACAGGCTCCTCACACTTGCTTGCCAAAAAAATCAATCAGCATGTGTAAGGAGCCCATAACAAATTGTATGGCAGCCTGGCTACTTCCTGTGCCCATTTCTTCTGGTTTACATGCAGTTCTACCTATAACTGCTAGAGGCACTTTTAAAATGCATTGGAGCTTGTAGAATCAACAGGTTGGCCTGCTTAGTGCTGTTTTAGGAAAAAGAAAACTGGGTGTAACTGTAAGAAAAATAAAAAATGTAGATTTGGGAGTTTCCAGTCATTTCAACAACAAAAAATGGATGGTCACCAATTTTGATTTGAAGATTTGTGGTAGTCCAACATTAGATATAAACTCAGACACATAGAATCATGTTGGTTTTCAATTCTTCTACGTACGGTCATTCAACACATTTGTTTCTTTGTATAACTAATCCATGAGGTCCTAAAAATATGGTAGATAGAAGTAAATGAAACATTGCTTTATCACATGGCAATATGGTACATGTGGCATTTTCAACTTCCCAGCTTTAATTGAAGTGTTTTGATGATGTGTTTTTAAGAGGCACCCTTCTTCCCCTGTGCAGGCTGCGGTGGTTCAACCCTGGAGGTCCTGTATCAGCTCAGGCAGCAGTACGGCAAAGAGCTGGACAACTGGAAGGTTCTACTCATCCATGCAGGGGGGTACAGCCAGAGGTTACCAAGTGCCAGTGTCCTAGGTATGAGAGATTCCTTGCATCATTTACATAGGAACTTATCTTTTAGGCCTTGCAACATGAAATAAGTAACACTTAAATCATTACCTGGTTTCCTTCGTCAAGCTCTTAGCTGAAGATTAGTGATTTTTTTTGGTTGCAGCTGAAGAGACAGCCAAGGCTCCTAACTAGCACTGGACTATTACTAATTGCAAACCTTAAGGCCGATACAAGACGGGGTTTTACCAGGCCTCCATCTGAGTGATTTATAGTGAATCACAAACTCCTGACAGAGTTTGGACAGAACAAAATTGAAAATTGCATAAAATGTTACATTCTCTTCACCTTGTAGGCAAAGTCTTCATGGCCGCCCCCCTAGGCTGCCCCATGTGGCAGATGCTGGAGCTGAAGTTGGCCCTGTACATGGACTTCCCACAGCGCATGAAGCCCGGCATCTTCCTCTGCTCCTCTGACACGGTCGAGACGTTTGAGTGTCCTCCTCACGCAAACTGGTCCTTTACACTGGACGGTTTCACTGCCCTGGCCCACCCCTCCCCTGTAAGTATTGGTACAGGCCATGGTGTATTCATTCTGGATGGATTAGATAGTGTAGACGGGGTAACCGGTAACAGTGTAGAGAGTGTCTCTATGAGGGAGTGTGAACAGTTCATCCATAAACCTACTGTACAAGAGATGCATTCTAAAGGTGCCGTCCTGCCACAGGAAGCTTCAAAATGCTTCTTGAAAAATACAAACAGCACAGAGCCCATTGTGTACACTGACAGTGCTTTCTACTTTGACCACCAAACTGGAGACAAACTGCTAGACTTCTATGAAAAGAACAGACCACTGAATTGTGAGCTGGAGGCCTATGGAGACTTTCTCAGGCCTCTTGGTCCCAATGCCACAGATGAGTATGTCAACATTGCTGCAAATGTTTGTGAGGCCACTTCGGACTTGGCACCCACAAAGACAAAACTATTCGAACTGCTGAAGGGGTTACCCTTACATGTTGTGCTAATGAACAATTCACGGTTCTACCACCTTGGCACCACTGCAGAATACCTGGACCACCTCTGCTGTAATGCATCCTTCCAAACAGAACTGGGACTGTCTCCCAAAGTCTTCACTGCCATTTTAGCTGAGGAAAACAAGGCATCAGAAACGGTACATAAACTTTCCAAACTGGCGCACATTTCTGACGAAGTCTGCTTGATGCACAGTGTTGTTTCATCAGATGCCACCATCGGTGGAAGAACGGTTGTTGAGTACAGTGATGTTGGCCCCAATGTGGACGTCGGTGCCAACTGTATCATTAGCAATTGTGTGTTGAAAGCAAAAACTGCTACAAGTTGTGTCGTGCCAGACTATAGCTTCATGCACTCTGTAGCAGTGACAGAGAAAGAGACAAAAGTCCAGAGATATGTGACTATCATGTTTGACATCAGGGATGACATGAAGAAGAGTGTAGCTCCAGAAGATGCTGGGAAGCTCAGGTACTACGGGATGTCGTTTGACAATGTTGCTGAGTGTCTTCAAAAGGCAACACCCCAGCAACTGTTTCCTAGCAACACCCAATCCTGCAGTCTTTGGAATGCGGAGTTGTTCCCATTGTCAGATGACATGGCAAGTTCCACATCTGTTGCCATGGGTATGGTGAGAGCATTACATGGTGGGAAGACGTGCCCTGGGGGTGATGACATCAAAAGGGTGTCCATGGCAACTGTCATGAGTGAGAGAGATACAACAGGAATGCTTCAGTTCCGAGACAAACTCCTTGATAAGATCAGTGCTGCCTTGAAGAAGTGATTCACTCAAACTAACTGTTAAAATCTCAAAAAGCCAAGGACTGACTTTGATTGCAATACCCAGTAAGTTGACTAAACAGTGTACATTACATGTAAAAAAACTGGGAGGTTGCTGATTGGTCCATAATTAACCAATCACAAACTATGTTTCTCTACACACCTCATGGTACCAGTATTTGCACTGGCCTCTCCTCTAAGTCACTTTGTACTGGTCTTCCCAACTTTGGCATAGGTGATGGATGCAGTATTTGTCATGATAATATAAAAGCATCATTCTATGAAAGTGTCCACTGCTATGAAGGGCATGAATATGGGGCAGAAATTTATTGATAATATTGAATAAATTTCTATGTTTCAACAGAGTCTAAGGGTGTTGAAAACTTTGTTGTTGCTTTTTTCTCATCGACTGCTGTAACAGTGTACCTGTAAAGGTCATCGTTCTGCTAACAAGTTCGTTGGAAGAAGGCATTGTTATCGGATTACTTCCACTAGCTACAGGTCATTTGGAATAATTGTCGTGCTTGAGTCATAACCAACAATACGCTGATTAGACCTGTTTCAGGATTGATTAATGACCGTGTCTATTGTGTGTGGCGGGAATTAGCTGGCGTGGGACCAACCTGCATACGGTTTTATCTTCAACATCAACATGCCTCTGGCTGTTTCTTTCTTTGTGCTATCCTGTCTTGAGTGACGTTTTGGAACGATTCCCTTATGTCTACAAATCTTCCTCTTTCTATTGTGTTATGATGGTTGTTTCAACAGTGAACTCAAAGATTATGTGAAGTCTTGACATTCACAGTGTCGCAAAATTTCAGTGCCGCAGAGTTTGTACAATGTAACGTTACATGGCTCAGAAAGTTTCTGTACCGTCTCAATGTCAGCAGCCATTGGTGCAAAATGGACCTGCGGGTATCCTACAGAATACAGAACAAGAGAAAGTAGGGGTCAAATAGGATCGTAAATCACCATTTTGCAGACAGCTTAAGTGCGACATTTGACCCTGATGAGAACAAAGAAAACACACCTGTGGCCTCTAACCTTTTTTGCAACAGTCTAGAAGTAAAGCCATGACCAAAACAAGCACCCCTTGTAGCTTTGATCACCATAATTCCAGTAATTATAGGATTTGCGATCTGGATGACAGATGGTATCTATAACGATAACTGAAACCTTGACTTTTATGTGATATTTTGAATGACATCATGACCTTGGTAGATATACTATATAGTCTTCAAAATGAGCCGAGGCTTTGACTAATGGTTTTGCCTTATGATTCCTTAGTATTTGCTGCTACTGGTTTGTTAGAAAAAAGATTGGCAGCATACAATCATGTGATTTGGCCTGTTGTTTTTGCTTGGCATCTGTAGTTGAAGAAGAAATTGGCAGGAGGCTCAGACTGTAGTACATACAAAATTTAATGGTGAAAATCCATTTAAAACCAAATGTTGGGGATGAAAACATTAATACTTCTGTACAATACAACTGATTTTGACAGATGTTTACTATGGTAGGTTTTTATACTGAGCATAACAGTACTTTGCAATTTTTGACATTAACGAGGAACGGTATCTGTTGAAACATTCGAAAGTCATGCTTAACACTCGTGTATGTATAATCACCCTCTTTCTTTTCTAATGTGTAACGTTATCTAGGTTAAACTTTGACTATCTTTCTCCAGAATTTGGTCTGCTTACAAGTGAATTGGCACTTCTTAGAGTAGAAAATTGGCATTTCAGATCAGGATTACAAGACAGAGAGATCAAAGCCTAGGTGTGGAGGCAAGGTGCAAAACAAGTTGCCTTTTAAGGTAAAGATTCCTGGAAATGTTTTTTACTATGAATTCTTCCACCCCACTCCGTCTTAAGAATTAGCCGCAAGCAAAAAAAAAAAGATGACATACGACTGAGGCAAAGCATTATGCTTCTTCGATAGCTAGAACCAAGGAGGTTTAAAAGAGAAACCTCCTGCTAGAAGCAAGCAAAGTTTATCGATGAAGAGACAATTTTGACAGAGAGATGGCAAGATTTATTTTATGTATCATGATACTAGATACAAACATTGATACCATCAAGTATACAACATTTCGTAAAGAATGAGTTGCACAGGTATAGATATAACTAAGATAATAGGTAGACCTGAGGTATAAGCTATTTTCTTTGTATTCTGCAAATTTTCATAACAATGGGTATCATGTCTGTTTTGTGTAAGTGAAATGGATTTAATGTGTACTGACATTGACAATGACAACACTTACACCCCATCACACAAACTGAACAGATGCCCAGGTTAACTGTCTAGGTCGCCCAATATAACAGCATTGTTATTGATCTCAGACTCCCCTCTGGCAGAACTTTTTCAATGATTCAGACAATTTTTATTCTCACACCCCCCATTATGTTAGGGGAACAGGAATGCAGACTGCCCCTCCCTCTAGTGTAGAAACAGTTACTGTAACTCACTTCATGTTCGCGGTAGCGAAATTTCATAGTCCGAAAAAAACGGAGGTGTTAAATTATGGATCTATTTGTTCACGGTGGCAGTAGGTACAGGAAAACAAAAGTCAGTGAGCGATTTTTTAGCAGTAATGATAAGTTTGTGGTACAGAAGTGACCGCGAAAACCGTGAACATAAAAGTACTATGAGAAAAATCAGGAATTACTGTAATTTGCTGTAATTTGCTTCAAATATCTGCAACTTTGGAAATAGTCAATCCTCTGTAACATTTCTGTGAGCACTTTTGACACAATCTACATTGTACTGCAACTTTACTCAAATCGATCCAACAGCATGGTGGAGTACAAGGCAACAAATGTAGCTGATGTACATATATAAACATGTAATGTAACTAAATACAGCAATGAACAAGGAATACAGTATAGTGCAATAATACAGTAAATAATGTAATGATATATGACAATACAATGTACATGTAATACTACGGGAAGCCTAATGTATATATTGATATCTTTCTGGACAACCACCTGTTCATAATCGGTGGAATGATTTTTGCAGTACTCAATAGTGCAAAAATATGTTCTAAAATAGCCATGAACTCAAATCTTCTCATTGACCACAATTTTTTACTGCGGAGGTTTGGCCTTTCTCATGACCTTGTGTGAGTTCATGCGACCTTGCCTGTGGTGCAGTAAGATGTCTTCAGTAGATTAAAGAAGAAATTGATATGACCTTTGGCACCCCAGCATAAACTAAGTAACTTATAATATAAACTACATACATAAAGATGATGCAATACATACCTAATTGTTGATATGATACAGCATACAGTGGGGATGTGTGGCTTTAATAGCATTCGGCTTTGAACCAAGAGGTACCTGGGTTCGAATCCTGCCATGTCACCAACCTTGTGCCCTTGGGAAAGGCACTTAACACGACTTTCCTCACTTCGCTCAGGTGAAAATGAGAATGATCATTATCATGATCGTGGGCATTCAAAGAAAAACACACCAGCATCTGTATCTGTATAGCTGGTATAACTGCCCTTCAGTGTAACATACCAGCTTCTGTATCTGTATAGCCGATATAACCGCTTTGGTGTAACACACCAGCTTCTGTATCTGTATGCCAATATAACCAACCTTTAGTGGAACATATTGCAGGCATATGCATCTGGCATGGCGGCAGCTTGCTATATCACAATGAATACAAATTATACCTGTTAGATCTTTGCACATCTAACTGCAAGTGTTGTTTAGAGCTTAAAATAGTAGCAGCTCACAACTGAATAATTGTACACAATTTTTAAACTGTCTACATGTACATGTTTTCGACATTGTAATAATATTCTTGAGACTATTTTGGGTTTTAGAAGGATTTATTTGACCTGACAGAAGTCGTATCTATCACCTTCAGCTCGGAGACGTCCCCCATATTTAGAGGTCGATGATTAGTCAGGATGTTTCTCATCAGACAACAACTAGTCTTCCGACCATATGCAGACCAGATATAGCTGCCCCTGTTACTATATCGGTCCCAGTCAACATGTTTGCGCGCTATTTTTGTGGGAGTGATATGAGTTATTGACCTCTAGAGGGACACATAAAACCAACTGATAATCTGACGTGCTGGTGTAACTAGAACACAGGCTCCATCCTGGTGATGGGTCCAGACAGCGTGTCCATATATCGCAGTGTTGTTGACCTTGGACTAGTCTATAAATACATCAGCTATCGTCACACATGTATGCTGGTCATCTGTCTCCCCGGGCCCCCGTGTTGTGGACTATTTTGGAATGGGTTCCCCAGCCGCGGTGACCCGGGGGTCAGCGCTGGCCATCACTCTCATCGACACACTCTCAGTGGATGAGACACGCGGCTATTCCTGACCGCCGCGGCCGGTTATAGTAACAGTCGTAGTTTGGGATGAAATTCCTCCCCCAAATTAGTAGGGCCCTTGGCCATGTCCGTTGGCCTGGGTTAACCAAAAGCATGGACCTGTGCATGGTTAGAATTTAGGAATACATGAACTCTCACACGTCCTTTAACGAGGCGGGCTGATCGTCTTGCTTGGCAGGACGGACGTCACGGCAGGAGCTATCCTGGACATTTCAAGAATTGGTCATCGCGCACGCCGGGTTCTGGTTTAGGATCTGACTAAGACTTCTTAGTATCTGTGAGGACCAGGAAGTGTAGGAGATTCTGCAGACACCAGACAACTGTTGTAGACATATTCAGCAAGGGAATCTGTCACTGAATATTATACATACATGGGAAGTAAATAAGACAGTAACATGAAACTTTATAGACATGACAAACCAACAGAGACTTTTGTAGGGTCAGCTGTATAGTAATGAAGTAATGAAAACGTCATGTATTTCTCTTGTGATATAGTCCTACGTATAATTCAACCGTTAAAGTTTTCTGTATCCATGCACTTTTTATGTAATCAATATTTAGATGGGGGAGCTTATGTACATATTGTGTATTTATTGTGTACTTATATTGTTGACTTACCCCAAATAACTTGCGTAACTTTATTTGTGTTAAGTGGTAAAAAAACAGTAACTGTCACTCTTCAAGGGTAGACAACCTTCATGAAAAGAGAGTAAGAAAAAGACCTTCACAGTGGCAACTCCTAGCTCTTGCCCTTTGGGATCATACCAGTACACTTTTCATTCCATGGCAGACAATATTTCACATATAAAAATGTAGCCTCTACCAGGCTTCAGAAGTGGCTGGAAAGCATGGCAAATCTGTACTCCTTTAGCAGACCAACCCCCCTGGCATGTTATCTATCAATTTGGCCAATTTCTACTCTTTCCAGCCACTTCTAAAGCCTAGTAGAGGCTAATAAAAATGAAGACATCTATAATTGCCTGTCTCAGGACCTTGTCTGACCGTAATCACGTCAAGTGTGAAAGGAAGGGGAAGGAGACGGCTTCCACCTGTCCTTGAGTCGGTCTTCAGGTGTTTTGTAGCATCCATGTGCCAGAGTAGGGCCGCAACAATTGAATTTGTTGGTTCTCTGATTTTTACAGAAAAAAATGAAACGACACGGCGCAAAAAGTAAAACAAAATTCTATGGGTGACAACTAGCCTTATCCTAGTAGTAGTACATGTAGTACTACCTACTAGTACATTAGACGTATAGGTTTGTTGAAAATTATCAACAAGTAAAACATAAAACGAGATTTGTTTTATGATTCGTGAAGACCAATGTTTTAATTAATAAAATATTTTACTGTAATGATAAAATCTACATGATTGTAAAAGGACACATAAAGGCAAATAGATTTCCATTACTAAAAAGTACCAAATTGAAAGAAAGTTAGTGAAATGAAGATTGCAAATTTAATGAAAGGGAGCTGTGATCTATTTGTTTGTTGTCGTTTTCTTTTTTTTTCATTTTAGGAAAAATAGGTACGCTGGTTCCTGGGTACCATCCTGGTTATTTTACGTTCACTACAATAGATGGATGGTACCCAGGTTAAAAAATAAGAAAGAGTTAGAAATACTTTTTTGCATTGGTGTGGCCTGAGGTGTTAAACAATAGGTAATGTCACACTTCCTGTACACAGGGAACTGTGCCAGACAGCTCCCTTCTGTGCACGTGTGTGTTACACCGGCATCTTCTACACAGTCACGAGTTCCAACAGGTGTTTCTGTGTGCACTAATTAATAATGATTTGGGTAACTTGACGCAAACCTCGGGTAATCGGTACACAATTGTTGTTTTGATAACCTTTCATTAATTGAAGCTGAGAAGGCTAATCTAGTACTATATTTGGGCTGTGGTGCTATATTTGGTTTTGAAAACATTACTGGCAAACGGTGGCAAACATTCTACTGTTATGTACTGTGAACACACTTAAATCATGTGGGCAGTTCTTGGAAAAATATTTAGTATTGGCTCCCCCTTTTCCAAAAATCTGTTCTGTATTGATACATGTGCACATGCATTCATGTTTCAAATAAATGTCATTTTTCCTTTTTAGTGATATAGTTAAGCACAGAATGCATACTAGACTGGCATGTTGCCACAATAATACATGTATTAGATCAAACATACACTGCTCTCTAAAGTTCATCAGCTATTGCAGTAATCAAATATATGCATGTATCATTACTGACAGTTACTGTTATTGGAAGGTTTGGCTCCAAAGTTTAACATTATGCTCACAAACCCTTTATTTGGAGGCCATAACAGTACCTGAGACAACACAGACCCTTGTATTATGACTGGGACTCTACGCCATAAAAGGCCTGGTTACTGGACCTTGACAACTATAAAGCAGCTTTACTAGCCCACACAGGCTTCATTTAATGACATCCTCTGTGTAAAGTCAATGCACCCACAGATGTCGTCCATAAAATTGAAAATGTGCGTATGTCCTAACTAGGTTCTGACAATGTCACGGTCGAAAATCCAAAAGTTATTGCTAGAAATGGGATACTGTCTGTATCAGGCAGCTAGTGGAGAAATTTTGTTAATGTGGAAACAAGGCCACAGATTAAGGTTTTCTTTGCCACTGTGTTTTATCTATTCATTACACAATCACCCAGAATCAAGTACTCTATGTACCTTGACTCTATATCTCTCTCATCTTCCCTCGTACTGTTTGATACCAAGCCAGGATACTAGGTTTTGTCTCGTGTGAAAAACTTACTATAGATGTAGCTGTTGGATGGGTGATGATGATTAATATAAGTCTTTAACACTTGTTATCGGCAGTCTTCTTAGCCTTCAAACCAGTTTGTGTTCAATCAAGAGACAGTACACATTTCGTGAGCTTAACATGTCTGGATTCGCTGAATCTTATATGGATTCAGTTAAGAAATGTTTATGAAAATTCTTAATTCCGGATCTGGATCTAGATATTTATGTTATGCTATAATCCCTTCTTTCCTGGGTTGAAGACTCACTGTAACCTGGAAATGGGAATGATCACTTTGATGGAAAACAGCAATCCACACAACATTAGACATGGTCAGATAACGGGAATTAACGGACTAGAAGGTTCTTTGGACATTTGCCCATGTGCCAATTGTGGAGTCCACATCTCAGTCAGTCAGTAGAAATGTGCGTGGGAGGGAGTTTGATCTGTAACTCACATCTCTTTCCTCCTCAGCAACTAAAACTCATTTGGTATTTGGAAAATGGCCACATGTCTTCAATATAGGAATGTTACAAATAACTGGTGGCAGAACAGTGCAATGAGTAATACAGATGATGCTGTCTGACTATTAAAATTGTTTAAGATTCTAAGATTTCATAGAATCTGATGCATTTGCCTATAGAAAATGAACCTCTAAAAAAGATCCACCCATTTTCTGGTAAAATCTCTTTTGAAACAGATTTTATTTTGATGATGATGATAATCATCGTCTTTTGAATCCATTACAAAAATGCTATCTTTGTTAGGATCTCTTGTGTGTGGTTTGAACAATTGCTTTGTTTGTGAAAAGTACTGAAATTTGCTTTAGACTAATGAAGGGTACATGTAGCTGCTCCACCCTTGTTGAGCACATATAATGATGAGGGCTTTGGTCATACAATTGAAGCCTTACATCTTTTTGGCTGATAAAGATTACAAGCTAGGGCAGAAGGGTTTTATATTTTTGTACCGACCTAATCAATGTAGCCTGAGTACCTTTGTTCAGCTTTTGTTTACTCCAACTATCTGTACCTGAGGAAGGGATACTAAGTTGGTACTGAGTGACACAAAAGGAGGTAAAGTGTCAGTATTAGACAGATTATATTTACTCACCCAGAATATTTTTTTTCTGTTTTGCCACCCTGAAATTGCATTAGATGCCTTTAAGTTTAATGAAATAACAAGCCTTAAATGTTGATATTTTCAAAAGAGTCAAAGGTCATATCTGTGACAAAAGAGCAATGGATGAAAGTCTTGTATTAAAGAAAGTTGTTGCACAAGTTCAGTCAGGACGGTCAGTGACCCAAAGGTCACGACTAATTGCAAGGTAGACCACAGGACCTGTCTGATACATGCTTGCCTCAGGTGCAGATATTATCTGTCAAACTCACAATGGAAAATATTTCAAAACCAGATGTTTTTGTTTGTGTGTTTGTGGAAAATGGTATAAATTTGTGCACGACACAGAAAACTGATGCCACTGATAGCAATGCATTCATGTGTATACACGTATAATATATTATAAACCTCACTAGCAGTGACACTCAAACACACTTTTTGCTCAGCCAGAATATTCAGTGAAATTAGGAAATATTTTCAGAATATTTTTTAAAATAAATATAGAGGATGGACAAAAATTACACAAGTAGTACTACATTTGTACATTCTGGACAGTCATCACAAAAAATGTGCACAATCATCACAAAAAAACATTTCAATGGTCTGACCTTTTGCAGGGATTTAGTGTTTGTATTTTTCAAAGGCTATAAACCACCTGCTCATCCATCTGTTTGTATTCGTACAATGCAGATTCTAGTGCATTGAAGTTGGGTAATTACAGTAAAGTCTTTTTCACTTCACAAAAGTTGCAGAAGCATGTCATCAGCTTGAGAAGATTTAGTAGCAAAATTTGCAGGATAGTCTTATCTTTTTTGGGGGGTAGAAGCGCTGATGTTCATTTTTCTACACAGACTTAGTTCTCTAATGCAGTAGAGGGAATTATGCTGTGGAGGGAGTTGTAGCCAATACCACTCTCTACGTGGATACAGCTTTTTCCTCAAATAAGCAATGCTCGAAAAAATCTTTCTTTCCTCACTTCTTGGGTCCTATCATTTGGTGAAATATAACAATACATACTGTATCATATTGAAACCAAGTGTGGACGACTGTTTGCCTCAGGTTTCGGACTCAGAAGCCACATGAGGTCAAACACACCCCTGATTGAGGACACTGACACTGACGGTCATTAGTGATGGCAAAGGACAACCAACATCTTAGCCACAAATGTCAATATTCTTACAAAGCAGACTTCAAAATAAGACACTGCTTTATATTTGCAATCACCAAAAAAACCTAAATGTGTGTGTGGGCGTTGAGAACAAGCAGACTCTCTTACAACCAGGATTTTGCTAATTACAGAGTGCTGGATGCACAGAAAATACCTGTGTCCTGTGGATCATGTTCTTTGTGACATACTGCCCCATTACTAAATTACTGGGATTTCAAATGGCTCCACTAGAGATTAGGCTCAGAGGGATGTTTTAGACCACTCTACCAAATCATATGGTCTTTCTGGTATTGCATATCTTTTTCTGTGTGGCATCGAGTGGCTTGGCTAGCAGACACAAGATTGAGCGGTTGCAGGTTCAATTTGTGGCTGGATATTGTGTTCTTGGGAAAGACACTTCACTCACTCCACCCAGGTGTGAAATGAGTACCCGACTTTACTTGTGGAGTAAAAAGGGGTTACTGGAAAGAGATATAGACTCCACCTTACCATGTCCTATACAAAGTTGTCCCACAATACCACAAAGTGGTTCAACAACCTCCTGCCCCTATGGCCTCATAAAGGCTATGGGACTGCCTTTTGTACCTTTTTGATATTTTATATTGAGAGGAAAAACACTGTATGAGAAGTGTCACCGTGTCTACCATATCCTTCAAGTCCCTTCTTCGAAATAATTGGATTGCTCAAAGTCATGTGTTGCAGGCGAACCTGCACATAATAAACTGGCATATGAGTCAGACCTGGTGATGTTAACCTTCGACAGAGCACCCAAGATGAGGACCAGGCAGTACTAGTATGCCCTGACCCCCCACCCATCCACCCACACATCCTCTTTCTGGAGCTGCCTTCAAAGCCTGCCGAGAAGATCATTGATCTGAGAGTAAAGACACCATCCATTGAGATAATACTGGATTATCCAATGTGTACATCTACCAGCTAGCTCCATGAAAACTCTGCAATTTTACATAGATAAGCAGAAAGAGACCAAATTCCATTTCCTGGGTGACCATTTATCTCCAAACAGATCTTTCTGCAAAGACAGTATCCATTTGCCAGGCAGTTACAATTTTGCCACCCAATGATAACTGTCTGGAAAATGGATATTGCCTGGCCAATTTGATACTGTCTTTGCGGCCACCGAAAGATCTGCTGTGCGATTAGGTGACCATTTCCATACATGTATATTACTAGTACTGTTGGATTGGGTAATATGGGATTGAAACATAACGTCATTAATTCAACAACATTAATGCTTTCAAGTTTACCTTTCATCATAATTACCAAGTGTCAGTACTAAAATATCTATCGAACAGCCCCAGACTTAAGCAACTGTAGCCATATATTCCAAGGATGAGTGGTGTTTTTGTTTCCGGGCTTCTCTGTCTCTATTAGAGCCCAGTAGTAACATCATTAGTCACTTTTAAAAATGTGATATGAGGTCTGTTTACTGCTCCAACAGTGTGGGGACTAATCAAGATGTCTTGGACATGTCCCAAGTAACCCAGGGATTGCACAATCCTCCTTCTTTCTTATGTTTCTCAAAGGCTTGGCTACATCTTTAAGACATGGTGATAACGTTGTGTAGGGAATATCTTTCAAATTGTCACTAGTGATACAGTACAGAGAGACCAAGTTTTGCTTACACTGTCGTCACGCCACACCGGAAAAAACACGCTGACAAAAAAAAGCAATAGAACCTTCATGTACGTCAAGCAGTATCTTCTGAACTGAGACTGTTATACTGCTAGCTTCCTATGAGACAGAAGAGACAGTATATTAAACAAGGTTGTATACTGACTAAAGTAGCAACAGGCTGTAATAATAGTGAAGATAATCAAGTCTTTATGGAGCATTCACCTCTCTGCTTATCTTTCTAATCTGTCCTGTGTTGGTTTAGGCATTAAATAAATGTGAAATCACCCAGCCTGTTAATGAGAGCAAAGTGTTATTCCCATGTTTTCTTCTGGACTCCAAAGCCCCGCTACAAAAATTTCATTTCCATCTTGTGAAAAATTGATAAGGTGGCAGAGTGCCTAATGCACTTTTTGTGATGAGTCCTCAGTTGAGTGCCCATCATCAACAGGACAAGCTGTAAAAAGGCAGCGGAGGGGACAATGTAATGATGAGGTTTTCTTGTCACTCAGTCATGGCAATGTCATGCCTGAGTGTCTCTTTCATCATGTTGTCCGTCACTTGGCCCCTGTCCAAAATTCCCACATCCTGCCTAGCCTCATGTGCAGACTTCCTAGCAGCCAGTGTATGTTTCTACAAGTGCAAGCTCCTCCCCCCAGAATAAAACCATGCTGTAGCCACCTCATAAAAACAATGGTTGCTAGGAAGTCTGCGCTGGAGGCTTTAAAATTCCTACATTTTTCTCTTTCAGGTGTGTTCTTTACATTGTCCCTTATTCCATCCAGTGACTACTGGTATTAAACATAAAACGGAATCTAGTCTCCTTTTTTACAGGTGGAAACTTGCAAAGGTAGATATTACATTCCTTTAAGTGTCTTTTCTATGCTCTATAATTGGCCTTACCAGTATGTATTTACTTTTGACAAATGTAAGCCATTTTGTCATCTCTTCACTAGTGATGAAGGTAAGTGTGTAGGAGGATTGTTTCTCCTACAGCTCAGTTTCTATCCTCAAATTATGCTGACTGTACAAAGGACAAACCTGGAAGGGAGGTATTAAAAAGGTCAGTGCCTAACAGACTTTGTGTGACCTTTATATATCCTATTTTCATGTACTGTATAGCCTGCAAACTTGTTTGATGACAAGTACCACTCTATTAGTTCTACTGTAGGGAGTAACAAATTTTACAATAATCCTAAATCCTGGGCCTAAAACTTGTCAAACACACAAGAAGAAAGCAAGTCTTTCCTTGAGCTTGGAGAGTTTTTATTGCAACATATCTTAGTAGAAAGCACAAAGTGATACTTCATAGAGAACCATGGAATCCTTTTTTTGTTGTGTTTTTTTATGGAGGTGAGACATAACCTTAAAGAGACCTGAACATATCTCTGCAAACAATATGATACATCTGCAACCATTGAAATTTGCTCCTTAATAAATAGTCTCCATTATGCACTCATGTCGAGTGATTGTACAGAAGGATTGTTTTTTTCTATACAACAATTATTGTTGCGATATCGTCATATCATACAATACTCCTTACCTTTGCTTTATATAAAATATGCTACTGCTTTTCAGTACTATTTTAAGACATAACTATTCTATATCTTCTTCACCCAAAACTTTGATGGAAAACAAATCATCCAAAATGTACAGATAGCGAATTTCAATATTCTCTATACACTACAGCTTTTTTTCCTATATAAAAAATCTATCAACTCATTGCATAGAGCTTGATACATAGCTACCTTCGTACCACCATATTTTTAACAACTGATTGTCACGGTATATCCTGAGCTTTCATTACAAGCATAGGCTCCCACAAAAATATGCTGGAAATGCAACTGTAACAGAAATAATATTTCTTCTCAATACGATATCTCATATTTTCTATCAGCGTTGTAAGTCCATGTTTTAAAACCTCATAGAGGTAGACACAGATGTAGTCAAAAGTTTCTCCTGGTTTCTCTCTTTGCAACAAATATTATGTTGTGAGTTGTACCATCTTGACACCCTAGTTGAACAGTGGTGTTTGCATAGTGTTGTACCAAACTGGGGTAGTGCTGTTACAAATGGCTGGAGGCCATGCATGCCCACTCGCCCACGCACAATCATCAAATATGTCGATGTTTTCTTTGCTTTCTAACACAAATTGCCCAGACAAATATGGCAAAACAGATCCCCACATTTCACTGTTGGCATGCTGGAGAAATATTAACTAACTGCTCCTCGGGTCCCAACAAAACTGCTGTTGCCTTTCGCTACGGCTTATTGTGTATCCATGTAATACCAGGACAAACATTTGAGACCCTCTTCAAAGTGGTAAGCAAATGTACAAAACGTGTAACTGATGTGGCTATCAACTGAATCCAGCACCCTTCAAGTGACATATTGGACCAGGCTTTTAGCCTGTCACCATAGATTGATGCAGTGTACAAGCAGGGGTTTGTTGCTAAGGCACCTTATTTGTTATTGTTACCTACCAAATCCACCTCTGCCGCTGGTCACAGGTAGCACAGCACAGCATTTACCATTTCATAACTTTACAGATCAGTATCAAATTTAGAAAATACATTAAAAACAGAAGGCGCTGCTGTGTTTGTGACCCAGTCATGAAGAGGTGGATGTTGGAGACGGTCTCAGCAGTGGAAGTTCTGATGCCTCTTCATGTGCAGGGCGAGATGGTCGGAGCGGGAGAAACAGCGCTCGCACACCTGACACTTGAATGGCTTAGCCCCCGTGTGTTTCCTGTAGTGGCGCGTGAGTTCGTCCGAGCGGGCAAACCGCCACTGGCACCCCTCCCATGTGCACTTGTATGGTTTCTCACCTGTAGGATAAGGACACAGAAGAAGGGCAAACATTAAAGAAATGATCACCTTGGGAAGATTTTACAAGAGTAACAATAAATGTAAAACTGGAGACACTCTACTTCACTAAGTACCATATTGTCTGGCTGTAAACCAAGTGTGACCTTGCTTCTGTATGAAGGACTTTTTTTAACAGTTCCTCTACTACCACCAGGTGCAGTTTTATGTAATGTGTATAATCAAAAGATACAAAGTGGATAATAAGGGATAATTTCACAACATTTTGGATATGGTTCAAGCAACAGGCTGGTGTTTTTTTTTAAACTTTAATATCCAGAAAACATTTTTACAGCACAATTGTCAATGTGCCAGTTCAAAGGTCGGTCAAATCAGTCAAATTTTCTAAAGATTAACACAACTACAAAGTGGCACTTCATTATCTTCACATCAAATTCAATACTCCTTAGGAATGATCATTCTTTGTCTTCACATTTTTGGCCAGGTCAACGGTTGTAGCTACAGCCAAAACACAGCAATTAAGGGAATAAAGGTTGTCAGCCTGTGTTAACAGAACGCTATGCACACAAGACTAAACACAATCAAGCAACTGAATGGGTAATGAATTGGCGTTGAAGTCTTTGAAGTTTAGACACCCAGACAACAGACAAATTACCTGTCGAATGAACAAATTCACCTGTCCTTGAGGCTACGTTAAGCAAACAGTGGGGGCATACACCGGACTATTATTTTTTTCACAAACTGTTTGTTAGCACCTATTCAGTCAACCACTCTTGCCAACAAGGTTTTGGTATGGGATCATTAATTTGGCGCCTAGTCGCACCGCACACAAACACTGCCAGATCGAACAATAGTCTCACCTTGGGGTCATGGCAATGTACTGAGGCTATATCTACTGATCTAGAAATGTGCTCGTATTGTTTAGTCTTTCCCCTTGGGAAACCAAGCACCTTGAATGATACACATAAAAAATACAAGGTATGTAATTTTCCTAACAGTCAATTTGCTCAGGAATTGATGGCAGGGACAGTTTCTCACCTGTGTGTGTCCTTTGGTGTGCTTTGAGGTGGGAGCTCTTTGTGTACACCTTGGTGCAGCCTGCATAAGGGGACAAACACAAACCATTTAGATCATAATCACCAGCACAGCATGGCACAAAACCCCTCCAGATCCCATCTCAAGGTCGTACCTTCATTATAAGGCTTTTACGATCATGTTTTTTGTGCCAAAACAAAACGTCAATAGCACTATGTAGGATTGCTGTAATGGGCCGTGAATAATGTGTAGTTACATAAAGAAACCACCAAGAGCCTTGAAACTTAATTGCTGTATGTGAAAACTGACAAGATGCTATCTAAGTTCTTGTTAGTGGATAGAATTAAAAGTGTATCTTACGAGCCCATCAAATTTCAAATGTCACATCTACTGCCGTAGGAATGTCTATAACTTAGTATATCACCTTCACTTGTCTCACACCTATGACTACATGTACTACCAGTACCACCATTATTAGCAGTAACACTAGTCTTCGTTTCCTTCCCTTAGTTTATTCACGTCTTCTCACAACTTCCTTCTACAAGTTTACTTTGTACTTAATCTCACACCTCCCTGAAGTTAAAACTAGTTAGAACACCCCCACAGTAGCAACATGGTACAGTCTGCCTAGTGATTCATACTCAATTGAATCCAATCTACATTGTCACATCTGTGATGACTCATATTCAAGTGGTGGGGTGACCAGGTTAATTTATCAACAAACTGTGTCCCTTTTATATTGATATGGTATGCTTTTACAAATTATACACTGTGTAATCTTTCAGGTTTTTAGTTTTATCTCACTTAAGTATTTTTGATATTCAGTCTTTGTTTCTTTAACCCTTCCCCCAATTCTGTTGAATTAATTTTCACATCCATAGTTACTCTAGAGTCTAGAGTGGTCTGAATTTTGTGTCCTGTGGGATTTCAGCCCATCTTAGCCTGATCAGGTCTCATCCTTCCCAACTGTTCTCCTGGTTACTTGGTCACTGTGTTAATAACCGAATCTTATCCTTCATCCTGGTTACCCAATAACCTTTGCCATCTCTAATCAGCTCCTTTTGTAAGTCAGGAAACTTGATAGGAAGACAAAGACTGCCCCATCAGAAAAAGATTAAAAGCCTTGTCTAGAAACCTTGCAGGATTTAGAGTGACCTGTCAATGTTTGCTCTGTCTATCCGTCGTAAATCTGCCCAGTAATTGCCCTACATGCATGAGGAAACGCTAAATATAGTAATAACAACACGAAATATGCGAGCAAAGTTCACCTGGGTAGTTGCAGTGGTGAATTCTCCTCTTCTCGAGCTCGGGGTTGTTTTTCCTGTTGTAGATGGCCTGGTGTCCTTGGGCGGGCTTGCTGGGAGGTCCGTGGGACTGGATGACCAGGTTGCCGTAGGGGTTGGTGTGGAGCTGCGCTACTGCTATGGAATATGGAGGGGGCGGCGTCAGCGCGTTGGGCTCCTCTGACGGACTTCCGGGGTGGGAGTTTGGAGGTGTGGGGAAGCCGGACTGTTGCGATACGAACGGATACTGCACGGAGGCGAACTGGACGCTGCCGCCGGCCATGGGGGCCGTGTGGTACATGGACACAGGCAAGGACTTGTGAAAGCTGCACGACTTTGGTTCTTCCTCCTCCTTAATGCGGACGTTCAGCGCTGCTAAGTTCATGCTCATTCCCGCGTGGCCCACGTGGACCGCGCTCTGGGAAGTGACGGGGTTGTCGGGTTGACTGGGTGTCACAAACGTGGATGTGCTGGGTGTGCTGGGGGAGGCGAAGCTTGTGATGGGGGTCCCCACTGGGGAGGAGTGGATGGGAGTGGAACTGTCCGAATGGAAGTCGCAGGAGACTGGCAGGGGCTCTGTCTTCACATTTAGAGTCCGAGGCCTGACCAGCCCTGTTCTGAGGTTGTTATAGTCTCTGGTCTGGTTTGGGATGATGACATTGAAGTTGATGTTCAGCGGACCGTCTTTGTTGTTGTTGCTGCCGTTTTTGGGTTCCTCCTTGAAAAAGTCGTCGACGACTGAGGCGCTCTCTCTCCGAGACTTCTTCTCGGGCGGTGGAAGCGCGTGGTCGGGCAGCTGAAGGTATTTGTCCATCTCTTTGAAGGTCTGCTGAAGAAACAAAACAAAACTTACCATAAATTCTTTTATCCAAACATAACATCATAACATCATCCATTAGTAACTATCCAAGAACATGTTACATTGCTAACATGGTTGGTTACACAGATGTAAACAAACTGTAAACAAGTGTTCCCTGGAAACTGAACTGAAGTTACCCAGCTTTCAGTTGAATGACAGTCCACTGCAAACTTGAACTTGTGCCCAAGTTTGGACAGTAAACAGACTGGAATTTTGTCCACCTACAATAACCAAGTGCCTTGATGTACCACACAGCGACTTTACTGTGTCTGGGCTATATTGAGTGTGGGGTGACTCAGACTTGGGCCCTCTCCAAGCCCAGGGGATCTGCACCAGTCAAGGGAACCTTGGTGTTATTCCCAGTTTAATGAGAAGTCCCCACATGTGAGGCTGTCTTTACTTTGAGTGCAGCAACACTCGTCACGCAAACACAGTGTAAACTCGGGTAACTTCGGTAGCTTTGTGTCTGCAAGTTCACAAGTACTTAATTCACATTGTTGAACACTTGCCAGATTAGACATTCACTGCCAAAATATAATGGAGGCACCGACGGTCTGGAAACTGAAGCCTTTCAAGATAGAAATCCAGTTTATGGGTACAAAACAAGATAAGATTGTTGTGGTGCTGCCGGGAGAACTTTGATGACTGTTGAATTTGTTGCTACAACAAACGTGTTTGTAACTGTTTGCTTACTACCTCTTCCATCATGGCTATTTCCAGCCATCTTGCATGACGTCACAAAGGGTGACTTTGCGTTTTAGAACCGCCAAGAAAGACTGCCCTGTTCCAACTGTTGTCTTACTGTAATTGCTAAAAATACTATAAAGGCTTTAACCAATTTTCTCTCGTCCACAAACAAGTTTCAATCCTTTTGCGTCCACCTGATCTGGTTACTGATGTAATTTGCAGGTGATTAGCCCAATGGTGGCAAACTGGATGATGTGAGAATAATCGTGAAAAAGTTCGCTCCTGCTTTGCCAGGCTTTCACATATGTTGACTGTCCCCTAGCTTTAGTGGGCCGCGGCACAATATGTACTGTTTGCCAATGGTATTATTCAAATGCTGCCAAAAGAGTGTAGATAAACACGTTTTCACAGCTGTAATGAAAACTAAACAAGTGGTGAAGCACCAGGAGTAGAAGCTGTGCACCTGTCGGAAGGTACACTCTGTTTCCGACAGTCCTTTTCTCCAACCTCTCTTCCCTTGATTTATTGTAAAACAGTGAAGTAGAACAGTAAAGCCTTATTGGGTTTGTGCCATTTAAGTCCTTGCCATTGATGCCTGTGTAACCCAAGCCCTTCCCCTTTATGGTGTTAGCAGACCCCAGGTAATATGTAACCAGACTACAAAGGTGAAAGGCCCCCACTTACTACTGGTACTAAGGACACTACAATAACTAGGGCATCAACATTTTTTTCCAGGAAGAGAGGAAGTCAGTATCGAGTTGCAGTAAGGGAACAGACACTTTCTGAAGCCTTGCCCTTTCAAGCAGATAGTTTTCCAGGAATTTTGTACTCTTTATCATGTAAACAAGTGTTCCCCTCAGGCTCTGAGTTGTTATTCAATACTCTGTACAGTGTTGCCCCATCCAGCATAGTGTCCAGAGGGGAAGTACCTACTCTCCAAGGCTTCGGCTAACTTTTGCCGTGTTTTGGGGCGTTTTATTGGGCTTTCTTTCTGTACTGGTATGTCTCCGCCAGGCCAAATGGTAACTGTCTGGCCAATTTGATTCTGCTTGGATACTAGTATTAGGAAGTACATTCATACTGGTATTGCAGCAAGATCTGCACTGTATTGTTTGTTAATGTTTGTGCTGTATATCAGACCAGGAAGGTTATGGGGAGATCAGACTGGTTAGAACCCGTCAGGAAGTGGTTCCGAAGAACGTGACTTGTGCCGACTGTTTGACCCGACGCCAAGTTTTATTTTCGTTTGCCCTCCACATGAGGTTTTGATGAGGGGCGATCAGTTTAATACCTTACCGGATCAGACAAGCTAAGAAGGGTAAATTGTGGAGATAACTACTTCTGCCTATTTTCTAATGTCCTTCTCTTTTTTTCCGTACATTTAACGTCTAAAAGCGCGGGAAAGCATGCTACATGCGGATGTAAACTAACCGTACACACTGTGAATCATATTCCCTGGTGATACAAGGATGAGAAATAAACTTCACGTTTTACGGCTAAAACGTGTTATTCATTAGGTTATCTGGCGCGATGACTCCCACACGAGGTGTCGCCGGGAGAATGGATTCGTTTGTTCGCGATGGGGTGTCAAGTGTTGCAGGAAATCACCAGATAACGCGACCAGCACGGAGTCGGGCCGTGACGACTGCGGTAGGCCAGGCGGCAGGCCAGGCAGAGCGCAGAGCGCGGGCCCGAGAAGAGGGCGGTCCCCCCGCCCACGCATATGGGGCATGTGCTACGTGCTCCTACCCCACCGCGATTTCACTCAAACTACCCGACCTTATTTGTACACAAATCTGACTAGTTTTCGGCAAAATCCCCACGTTTTAGGTAAAATATTACACAGGATTGTGAGCCTGAGGTAGATTGTTCTAGAGAAAGGCTGTATGATTTTTTGGACCGACTACATGTTGGTCGCTGACCGGGCCAGGCATGTCAGGCAACACGAGTTGGCGAAATTCCACAAGTGTCACGGTAGAAAGTCATCAAAACAAATATTCAAAATATAGATCCTAAATCAAACTGCTCACTTGTCACGGAACAGACCATAGGAACTGACAAAACGATCGTATGGAGCGGGAGAGTATGGTACGTGATTTTAAGTCGGGCCTGAAAGTTGACAAACGCTTCGGCCCGCCATGGCATGGCGGCGCGGCTACGAAGGAGGCGGGCACGCACACACACACACACACACTCGAGGTTTCGTAACCTTGCGAAACTAACGACAATCTAACGACTACGTTTCTCCTCCTTCTACTCCTAAACACTTGTCATAGATTTATGAATATACGTCTTTGAGAAATAACTGAAACTCAGGGACCTACCTCTCCCCAGTCCTCCCCCTCGGAGTGCAGGAGCGGCCGCAAGAAGGTGCGATCGCGGGCCGGTGCGGTCGGCGCGCCCCCTGCGCTCCCCTGCCCGCCACCGCCGAACATGTTGTCCGCAGAGAAGACCGAATCGTCCGTTGAGGACATCGGCAAGTTGACGGCAGCAACGGCCATTTCCTCTGGAACTTGCAGACTTTCTGTGGGTCGAAACAAGTCAGGGAAAAACCAAGTTTTAGACCGAAAAATGTATCTCTCGGGCAGGCGTTGTCACCTGGTACTGCACAGTACTGAATGAATGAACTGCGCGCAGAGCAGCGCGTATAGAGCCGAGTCACACCGGAAGTGCTCCGCCAAATATGGGCACACAAAGGCATGCCGCCCGGAACAAGAGGCGGGACTTGTAACGAGCGCTCTGATTGGTGGAAACAGTAACCCCAGTAATTTTTATGGACTTTTTGCGTGCGACAGATACGACACATAAATGTGGCACAAATGCCATACATCAAATTTATAACAATAAGAATTTTTAATTTCACACGGATCATCTTCTTTGCTCATCAAGAAAAGTGACGTTTCAGTTCGCACATTAATACTATAATAATAGCCATATGCATGTATAACAACTCATGGCTATAAGTATAAATCATATATATAACTAGCTAACTGTTATACGTTGGAAAACAGTCGCACCGTCAATGTACATACTGACTCGAGGGGCCATCTGCAACAAGAGAAAACATGTGGAGGCCTTTCGCACACCCACGCCAGCCAGTTCCAGGAAAGTTTGTTGTCTTCTGAACTGTGATAATTGGTAAATTATACCGACATACCGATGTCAGTCTAGCACCTTATCAGTTATCCGATCACGTTCGTGGGTTCGTTCTATCCCTCCTAGGTGTCTTCCTATCTTTCCAAATGGCTAGTTTTGATAGAAGCATCATGATCATTCTTGATCATTCAGTGCTGTCGTACGGCGGCGGTGTATGTCAATTTTTAGACAGGGACTACACTGTAGTTCGTCATGTGAACCGATAACTTGAGAGTTGTTGATTAGTTCAATTTGCCGTCAAGTGGCCCGAGAATCCTGCCATCAAGGGATAGGGAAGGGCTGAGCTAGATATGTTTTATGAAAAACGACTTCAACTAGGCCACTTGGCGACATACTGTGTCGGTATGCCACCTCTCTGTCTAAAACTTGGAATATAGCCCGGTCTTCTTCTGTCCAAAACGTTTGGACAGTGCGTTTTTCACGTTCCAGCTTTCGTAGTCCGTAAGCTGACATTTCGGCACCTATAGTCGTGCGGACCAATCAACGCTGTCGATACAGAAGTTTCTAACTCCCCATATGGTGCCCGAAAGGTCGTCCAGTAGGTCACTCTACTTTAAACGTATTGACTGTCACTCAACTTTAGACAAACATTGGTAATTGAAACCACCGGAAGTAAGTGACCAATCAGGGGACTCCTAGCAGAACCCCACCAATCCCGGGTCTTATGCTTGTTTGTCTCCGGACCTGACGTCACATTGACGTCACAGATAAGGGTATCCTTGGTGTTAGTACAGACCAGTGCATGTCTTTACCTGGGTTATTGTGGTGTTTAACTCACCTTTGTGCACTGACAAAGCTTTAAGTACACTGAGAAGCGAACTTTGCACAAATGATTGGTGACTTTTTTTCCTTATCTTGAAACAATCTGAACACTAAGGAAACGTTTGTAAGACTTTTAGAGTCACCGGAAGTTGTGCCGGAAAATTGCTTCCGATTGAAGTGAACTTTCTCTAAAGTGAAACATGAGTTTTCGTTTCCTATGTGGGGTGAGTTTAAACTTTTGTTTCTGGTGGGTGACCAGACGGTTTTCGGTAGAAGTACATGCGGTAGCAGTGAATGTGTATGTATGTACCATCATGTTTCGGTCAAAAGAGGTTTTTGGGGCGTCGGTCAACACCAGAAACTAGTAGAGCACTGCGCCAAAAGTAGAAGTTCTCAGACTATTGTTCTATCGTATTTACTGATATTATTCAGTTTTCAATAGCTACTTATTATTTTCCGAAATCAATACTGTCCCATAAATAAGTCCAACGTTTATTTCGGCATCGCAAGGGCAAAAGAAGGTGAACGTCAGGGTCAGTACTGGTCATTCTCGAAAATAAAGTCAAATCAGGCAAAACCGTATTCAAAATATCCAATGATGATATTTGTATTCGTTTTATATAGCTTGTTTGCCCATTCGGTGGAAAGAGTTGGCACTAACGAGCTTCAGAAGCGGCTGGAAAGTGAAGAAATTGACCAAATAATAAAAGTGGTGCAGTTTTCGTGAGCGAACTTTACTGGACAAACTCCCCTGACATGTTGCATGTGTATTTGGCCAATTTCTACTCTTCCCAACCGCTTCTGAAGCCTGGTCGAGGCTAGCAAGACTCTCACTTTCTCCATCGGAAGAGTTGGCAGTATATCAGAAGGCGGGGGAAGTGGCGGTGAGTCGGCGCGCGGTGTCCCCGCGGGCTCCCACCGCGGCACGACAGGCACGCTCCCGTCATCCACACTGGAATGCCGAGCATCAGCCAGGAATGTCCGATTCACCAGAGGAGTCACCGGGACACCAGATTGATAACAGTAAAGCACAATAAGGCGAGTTGATGGTTGGAACTTAATACGTGTCAGGATTCAATCACCACTTCCCAGCGGCCGAATGGCGTGTGCATGTGGGGTTTCTGTTTACAGTTATTTCACGTAACAATTGCTTCATGATACAGATAACCAATACCAATTAAACGACACCAGTGGTATAGAAAAGTAGTCATTCAACTAAATAATGTAGCGGACTTCTAGTGTCATTGGATGAAACTTCCCGCTGTGTTTTTAAGGCAAAGGTGGTGATAAATGTCGTCAGATGTGGTCAATTTGTTTGTATTATATTTCACAAGCCATATGGCATCCAAGACTCCAAGCGGCACCGATTACGCCGCAGACATTCTGACTCCTGCTGTAGACCAGTCATTAGAAATCAACCTTAAGAGCAAGTCCAAACTCGTCTTAGAAGCACTAATGGCAAGTCACAGTTGCTCCAGACATAGCTCGGTTAGCCTGTAGCTGTGCCTATCTCTGCACGCGAACTCATCATCAGTGAGTTATTTTTGTGTGTCTGACCAGAAGACATCTCGTTTTCAAGTGTTGGATTACTGATACGAGCACACAACGTGCCGAGCACTAATGTTGCAATGGTCAAGTTTCATCAACACACATGAATGAAGGACACTGAGAGCGCATCAACAAGCTAACCAGACACACCCCTTTATTGATGGCTCCCACCACTTCCCTTCTGTTTGTTTGTTGTGGTCTTTGATTACGTAAAAATTTACAGGGAGGCCTATAATGGTGCACTTCCCGAGTTTTAACGTAGGAAGACCGAGGTTAATCAGTTTGGCCCCAGGGCTCTGTAGCTCTTGATCCCAACTTCCTTTCATAGTTGAACCCATCTTGACGTCATGTTTAATTTAAACAACGGCAGAGGCAATGTCTTAGAGCCCAAGACTCTTAGCAAAACACAGACCTACTAGTATTAGATTTGTGTCGATGTTGTTCAAAAAGTGTGATCAAAAAGGAAGAAATTAACTCCTAAACATCGTTTCTTTCAGTCAACGTACATTTCATGAGGACATAGGCCTGTCCTTGAATTAGTATCACTCGTAAAGACAACCGTTTGGTGACCTCTGATGACCACTGTTCCTTTGTCCTGGGATTATTTCTCACAATTTAACAATTTCATTGGTGACCAGCTTGACGCAATCCTGAACAAATCAGAAATGAGTCACTGCTCGCGGACTTATCTCAGGATCACCCACTAAGTAGTGGATCCTTGACCTTTGTGACCGTGATGACACTGTAGTGTCTAGTGGTGAGGTCATGTCACCATGACCTTGTGACTTTTCAAACATGGACGTCACCTAGCTCTGTTCGCAAGGGCTGCTGGGTATCTATGGTATGTACAAGTTTGATTTGTTCTTAATCTTTCGGAGGTAACAGTTATATCCTTGGGAGTTTTCAAAAGATGAAGAAAAATTATGGCAAGGACAAAGAAATAATAAAGGACTAAGGGACAGAATAACAATATCCAACTGCTTTGAAATTGATAAAAGAAGTAACATTGACTACACCGCCAAAGGATAAAACAACACCGTCCTCCATGAGAACACATGTGTAAACTGTCGGGTACGTGTATCTTAGTTACATCCCACACACATAACTAAGTTATATCTACCCAATAACTTCTCTTGAGCTCTACTGGGTACAACTCTTTCATCACACTGTGTTAACAGCTTTGTTAACTGCTTTGTTGATTTAAGGTAGTCTTCAAAGGGGTACCTCGCCTCCTAAAAGTCATAACATGACATTTTCCAGGAGAGAAGTACTTTGGAGCGTTTCTGGACTGTAAATACTGGCCTTACGCCAAAATGGTTCATGACCAGCGTTTAGTAATTGTTTTACTGTTACTGGGGACAGAAATCTATTTCATACACCAAACGGTGACAGTTTATTCATTGAAACAGGTAAACTAGGATTACGTATTTCACCACATCCTGTTCATCGTAAGCCACAGTAAAAGTCAGCTCATTTCCTCGCAACAGGTGCTAGCCGGCTGCCCCCGCCAGCATGGGACAACTTGGAAGCCCTGCGCGACCTTTGGACTCTTTCCGCGAAAATACGGAAGTTTCGGCAGCCCATTTTTTCGATGACGTCGCGACGTAACTGAAAGGTCGTTGACCGGGATACGTTTTCACGTGTTCTAACGGTCAATGGGGGTTGTACAAGTGTGTTGTAGAATTTATACAGCCATTTCCTGCTGCAAATGAAGACAGAAATGGTATAGAAGGGCTTCAGGCTTCAGAAGGGACTGGAAATAGTATAAACTGGCTAAGTACACAGATACCTCTACCAGCCTCTACCAGCTGCTTGAAGCGACTGCAATTTATTTAGAACTTGTACAGCCAAATTGTTCAAGTAGACAAATAACATGCCAGGGGAGTTGGTCCGACACGACAGGCTTCAGAGCCGCAAACTGTACTCTTTAGCGGACCAACTCCCCTGGTATGTCAGCTGTATATTTGAACAATTTCTACACGAGTTCTTTATAATTTTCCGCCGCTCCCGAAGCCTGGTAGAGGCTAGCGGGTTAGACCGACAAGTGATATACGTGCAGCAACACACATGAGAAGCTGTGCAGTACGTGAAGGTATGTCAACAGTAGCCTGTGAGGCGGTAAGGGGAGAAGAAACACCTGAATGATGGATACGCCACGCTCCCCGCCCACCGAGCATGGCTGACCACTAATGGACATGGACACTGACTAATGGCCTGGCGTTTCGGCCACCCGCTCTGTCCAAATTCGGACCGTTTACCCTCGTACAGACATGGCAGCATGCCCTGTTAAAATCCTAGTCGCTCGTGAGCTGTGCTTAGTCGCGATCAGGCGCGCGTGTAGATTAGTTAAGTAACAATCTAATCACAAATTCTGCTTGTCATACTTTTGAAGTGGTGGGCAATTTCTAACCGCTTCGTTGGAAGAACAAACATCACAGCAACGGAAAATTACGTATGTATTTTATAGTAAAGTCCTTGTATTCACAAATGGTTGTGAACTTTACTACTCAATCATTTACCACCCTGATCAAATTATTTACGGATGTATGTACCTAGTTTGAGACCTAGCGTTCAAGAGCAGAGTAGAGCCGTGTGAACACAAACTAACATGTTTGTAGAACACTATTGACGTAGATATGTCAATGACCTGTTGGGCGCTTTGAAATATTTAGGCCCCGGGGCAGCGTGCATGTCCGACAGTGGCGTCATGTTCTATATTTGGTCTACCACCTGTAATATTCAGGCCTTGTATGTCAAGTCATAATAACATATTACTAGTTCTCTGTACCAGGCTTAATTCTAACGTACGTGGTTTGCATATATTACACATTTCCTGCCATAAAAAGACAGTGGAAAAACGCCAGCAGAGATCAGCTTGCGGTATCAGGTGGTCTATTTCCTTAAGAGTGTAATGGGTCAGTGATCTTCCCATGACGTCATTGTAGCTCTTAACAAGACGTTGTACAAGAAAGTTCAGATTCAAAGATTTCTGACGTACTTTCTTGCCACTGCCACTATATGGTAAGGTTGTGTTGTTACTCTAGAACTAGCCATACTAGCCTGATGAGTCATCAGTAGAGAGAGACAAGACTGTCAACTTGGCTGCCATTTTGAGGTGGGCGGGACGGACGGCATGGTTCTAACTTCTACATGTACATGTTATACTGAAAGAAAGGCCAGCAATAAAGTCACAGAAGAGTTTACGGCATAAGACATACAAAAACAAGTGACTGAGTCTGTGTATAGTCCCTGTCAGGCTTCGGGAAGCGGCTGGAAAGAGTAGAAATTGGCTAAAATAACATGCCAGGGGAGTTAGTCCGCTCAGGGGCGGCAAACTGTACTCTATAAGCATGTAATCTGGCTATTTGGCCAATTTCTGCTCTTTCCAGCCGTTTCCCGAAGCCTGCTAGAGGCTATCTGCGCTATCGTTGCTTACCTGGAGTTTCCCGACCGGAGTCCTCGGACATGTCGTCTGTGTCGGAGCGGTCGTCGTCCGTGCCGTGTCCGCTGGAGCTGCTCGAGCTCTCGGCCTCCCCGAGCACCTCCGCGACGTCGCTGGCCGGTATGATCGGGAACACCACACTGACGTGCATCTGGGACACCAGCGTGCCCACCACCGCTTTTAAAAACTCTATGATTGCTTCGAGAAGGGCTATATGGGTAAAGAAAAGGGCTGTCGATACGTTACGACGCTGGCTAACACTACTGTAGCGAGTCCGACGACCTTCAATTTGAACTCGACGGCACTGTTCTATTGTGAGCGGACGCCGCTTCCCGAATGGAAAGGCGCGACCGACCAGGTTAAATCTAGCTACGTGAACTTTCTAAAGACTTGGGGGGAAAGTCGTGGGACCTACTGACAAGTTGACTCAGAAGTGACGGTGGCCTAGATTATATATAAGAAGTTGAGGATACATGATCCTCGGGCGATCACGTGTTCTGATTGTTACCTAGGCACCGAATGTACGTGAAGTGTATTTATAGAAGTTCCGCACGCCCCTTTACCCTTTGCCACGCCCCCTCAGCCCACCTTGGCGGGCTTTTCCGTACCCCCTGCGGCGACAATTTGTCGGAGGAAACCACTTTTGGGTGTTAATGATTGTACTGAGCTTTTTCTAGTCAGTATAACCACAACATCTATTTTCATATAGCCTTCCAACGGTGTGGAAATGATGTGAAAAAGCAACACGGATACAAAATTACAACTACAACATCTGCATCATTAAAAGGTTAAGACTGTTTTTCTCACATCACCCCCATTGTGTACTTGGCCGCGCCTCCTGAAAAAGGTGGTTGTTACTAAGGAGAGACTTTACGTCATTCGCCCCTTGGAGACATCTTCGGTTCCCTGCTCCTGGTATTTACGCGGTGTCAATTTTCCTCGTTACGGCCCGACAACAATGGGACGGTGGTACGATTCTTTCTCTCCCCCTAGAAGTTTACGTCGCAACCGTGCCCAAACAGCAAGCCGACACCACAATACCGTACTCACACACATGTTTATCCACCAGTATGGGTGACTGGTACTGCTAGAGAACCATTGTGTGGCGTGAGACTCCGACCCAGGGGGGCTATAGCGACTAGTGTTTGGTATGCTAGGTGATATACATATCCAACATTCTCAGACTGTTGTCTTAAATAGAAGTTGACTTTTCCACTACACGGTTATGTTGGTTTTTCACACGACACGAACAAACGTTCAACATTCTTGTCAACAGGGTGAAAATACTTTGTAGGATACCCAGCAGTCAGATATACCCATTCACAGAAATTGATATGTGATATCAGGATGTTATCGTTCACAATAAAAGTGGGAGGGATCGTTGAGTTTTAATATTCATGGTCTTACACAGAAACAAAAGATCAAATGACCATTGATTGACGTCATGGAAATATGGTCACAAGATTAGTGACAACGACCTGTAGAACATATTTGGGTCGGAAAGACCACTTTTTACCACCGTAATTTTCTGCTTGTCTGCCAGGTGCCACAGGCAAGTCCTCTCAACCAAGCTTGTTGAACGTTCTTTTTTTTAGCTTGTCTGAACACAAAAACAACTTAGTCTCTGTCACTCTTAACTGGTCTCTACCTGCCCCCCGGCTTGCTGAGAAAGTACGTTGTAGAAATTAGCCAAAATAGATTGAATACTGTAGCAGTATGCAAGAAGTTAGATGGTTAGAGGAGTGTAATTTCCAACTCTAGATAGTTTTCCAGAAACCTTGGGAGCCGACAGAAAACAAGAAACAGACGAAGCTCTTGTGTGTCAGGGGTTAAGATTCAAGAGAAGTGCCTTAACTGTGGAGGACTGAGTCATCCGCCGTGGTTTGGCAGGCGTCCATGCAGACTTGCTTGTAAACACAACGTACCATTCCGTTCACCTGCCAGACGCGTGTGTGAGGGACAACACGTCAAGTGTTATGTTTTGGTCGTTAGGTCACAAACGTCGTACGATCATCGTACGTTTTCAAACTACACCGAAGGGCATCATTGGGACAGTCGTGCATGTGTCCTGTAAAAATCAGCTCTCCTGCAAATTTTGTTACCAAAACGGCTGCGATAGATGCCCGTAGGCGGTTGAATCGGCCAGAGTCTGCTTGAAAATCATACGGCATCAAAATCATACAACGACCTAGGACTGATGTGACAGCACCGTTAATGTTACGGCAGTGACCAGGGCTTCGGGATGGGTACTACATGTATTTGAAGATCGAATTAGCTCAGTTAAGAGAAGATCAAAATATCAGTGTTGGTGAAATAGTTCATTTGAATGTCACACGAGAAGACAGTACAAACTACAAAGTTTGTGAGCTGTCATTATTTTCGTCGCTCGCGTCATCTTCCGGTACGTGACAATGTACGCGTGCTGTTTTCTCTGAACCTTGGTCTTAGCTGGTAGCTAGCATCGATTCGAGTGTCGTCATCCTCGTGTTTGTGACAGTTTACGATATGGAGGGAAAACCAATGAGAAAACGACAAACTATCCCAAAAACATATTTTGAAACGTCATTCAATTTTCTATGTTCGAAAAAGCACTTGCCCCAAATGAAGAAATTCGCAATGTCGAAGTCCATCTGCCAAATGAGTTTGGACTGAACATGATTCATCAATGTCAATGGTGAAACTGCCGTTTTCTGTAAGAAATCAACTCAATTGACTTCATTGGTGTTTGAGATTTCATGATCAACGGTATTGTTTTTGTCTTCATCCCCTACTTAAATTTTCGTGTCACAAAAAGGCTTGATGATAAGCCGCTTTTTAAGAACACTGATCTCCATGACCCATGTACTGTGTACGTGCTGCTTGAAACAAACAGGCCCACATGAAAGACCGACAGAGTAGAGATATAGGTAAGTAGTACATGGTTGATAGGGCTGTTTGAGTCCACAGTGGCTCCTGTGTAAATGTTTTCCCGGCCGGCCCGGTGATGGGTGACTGCGCTGATCCCCGTGACGGGCCGGTTTGCTGCCTGTGTTTGTACCCGGGCGGTAGCCTCTACCAGGCTTCGGGAGGCGGCTGGAAATTGTAGAGTAGAAATTGGCCAAATAGAGAGATATTAAAACGTGTCAGGGGAGTTGGTCCGCAAGAGAGTACAGTTTGCCGCTCCGTTCTCTTAGCGGACCAAATCCCCTGGCGTGTTATCTATCTATTTGGCAAATTTCTACTCTTCACAGCGGCTTCCCGAAGCCTGGAAGAGGCTACCCGGACCGTGCCAGACTCCCTCCGTGTGTAGCCCGTCCCAGCCAGGATAGTCCGATAATTGGTGTGTTTACGGACAAATCTCTCCAGGTACAGCGGCGAGATGAAAGGACTCGCTGTTGGTCCTTTACCTGTTGTTTTTCCCGTTACCTGAGATAAAGGTGTGCGCGTAGGCGGGAGTCATTTGTCTCACCTGCCGGGGTCAGCTGCCGGTCACCGCGACGACTTCTCCCCGGCACGTCACCGTGGTCTCAGCCAGACTCCTTTTCAGGCTGATTAAATACAATGTACATGTAGTAGAAATTGGCCTTAAAAAGGAATGCCGTACAGACAAATTGGACCCTCTATGGCCCTTTCAAGGTCGATTTCTACTACTTAATCAGCCTGCAAAGGTGTCTGGTGGAGACTAACGCCAGATACGGCAGGTGCCATACAGTTGGAGTATCGATCATCACTAGAAAGCTTTAAACAACTCCTGCAATTAGATTTGCAAAGATTGGGTGTAACAGGTCGTTCGGTGTAATATAGCTAGCTGCCGCCGCCGCGCCGCGTGCGAAGTTGGTATGTTACTGCTTTGGGTGCTCTAAAACATACCTTCATAAACACACCCTCTTACCGTATACTCCTAGGAAGCTTAGACTAGCGTTTGAATGACACACTACCCCTATATCCTGTATCGTTGTATTTTTCTGGCCACCATCATTAAAGGAACCACAAAGGGACAAATTACAGGTAAATACAAGAGACTTCGTTGATGATTGATGATTTGTTTATAACCAAGCGTACGCTGCAGAGTGTCCTCATTATAAACAACAGAAGCTTGGGTACGTGCGTGTATTTTAGTACTTACACATCCAGAGAGCCATAATGATGGCCCAATGATTGAACTTTGTGTGCCTGCATAATATAAACGCTTCCGAACGATTTTGCTTGTTAGTTAGACAGAGCTATGCAATCGTGAAGTAGTCACGTACCTACACATGTAAACATGTTAACACTCTCTAGGTTAGGGTAAGCCTCGGTAAACGTTATACTGAACCTTTATGTACCAACTCTTCGGCGCCGATGAAACGGTCTATCAGTTTGATAAATACCCGATAATAGCTGGCTGTCAGAGGCAGTAGGGTCGGGTGAAGTGGCACATCAGTCTCGGGCACCTGTTTGTTGTGTGTACAGAGGGGGCGTGGTGCGGCAGGGTTTCGCTCCATTCCATAAAGCTAGCCTTTACCAGGCTTCGGGAGGCGGTTAGAAAGAGTAGAAATTGGCCAAAGTAGAGAGATAACATGCCAGGGTAGTCGGTCCGCTGGAGAGTACAGTTTGCCGCCTCCCGAAGCCTGGTAGAGGTTACCTCTGTCATACATGCAGGGTTAGGGCACGCCTACCCTTCTATACGAATCGACTTTAAGTTAAATTTGAGTCAAATTTGACTCCGATCTCTGTTGGTCTACTCTCGAACACCAGCCAAACAAATTATTAAAGCCGAACAGTAGCGGAACCATAGCCGACCTTGCTCCCGACCTACTCCTAACCATGGTTGGGAGGAGTTCGGCAGTTTTAGGCTATGTTTGACATGGGTCTGAGGAGGACTCGTAGAAATGTGAGTCGTTTTCATTACACTTTACTGGTCCTTGATCCAAAGTTTGGGTACCACAACCGGCTCTTGTAAGTCTTTCTCTGTACCTTAAAGCTGTACCCATACAAAATTTAGTTCTTCTGATTGACATGTCTTCGCCCAGGTGAATATACTGTAATCCCAGGAATGTAAGACGTCCAGTGAGGCGTGGTTCACCTGGAAGAGCCCAGCTCTGTGTGGTACAAATCTGCTGGGTAGTCGCTTTACGTAGGGTCAGGCTACTCTCCAAGCAGAGGTTGGTGGAGAAGATCGTGAACTTTCTACATGTATCATATTCCCCGTTTTCTGTCGCTACATTAACGGGGCCTCTGATAGACAGGACGTCATAATCTTCTCCACCAACCTCTGCCTGGAGAGCAGGGTCAGACAATCTCATGCGATCTTTAGCTCCCCTTTCTTGTCAGCGTCGAAATGCACCTCATACATAAAAGCTGCAGAGTATACTAGTACCAGACCTGAGTCTATCGGAGACAAATTGGACAGCCTGACAACTTGTACACATTCAATGATTGTATGTTTTATTTTAACGGTTAAGTCATCGCCAAAGCTAGCAAGTCATTGTCGT